AAGGTTTATTCCGGAAATAATCTTTAATTCTTTATAGTCGAGTAGCAAAGTTTGGTCACTGGCCAATTATTTCTCCAAATAAATGGAAGGCGGAAGAATTCGATTTAACCGATCTTTTGGTCCACGTTGGCCGTTCTCGAGCTATTGACGTGTTTGTGGATGTTTATGTGTCGTTGGATCAGAAAAATGCTACGAGGCGTTTACTCAATTTTGATCAAGGGGGTTTGGGATTGGGGGCTAGTGCTCGAGATTATTATTTAAATGATACAAGATATGGGAATCAGATGGCGGCATATAAGCGTTATATGATTGAGAAGGTGAATAAATCGAAATTTTATTTTAATTATTAAAATATCGCGGAAATTGGTGGGGGTTACTGTCAACATCTTTCAGTCCAGTTGTCTTTATTAACCCACAACTTTTTCATTTTCTGACCATTCTGAATAAGTTATATACCAAACGAAAGCTCTTAATGTGCAGATTATTTTACCTAGCAAGGTTGTTTTGATTGGATAGCCATATAAAAAGTTATAGCGAAATAACTATCAAAAATCACGATTGCGCACACTTATACGGCTATAACTTTTCATACGAATATCTGATCAGAACAACCTTGTTAAGTAAAATAATCAGCACATTCAGGGCTTTCGATTAATGCAAAAATTATTCAGATTGGTCAGGTTTAAACAAAGTTATGCCCAAAATTTTGCCCTCGGAACTGGGCATCTCCTACCTATTACAAGTCTTTCCGGAATCACTTTTAAATATTTTCCGGAAACTTTAAACAAATATTTTCTATTCCAACAGATCACCTCATTCGCCAGAGACGCCGGCACTTATCTATCAGATCCGGATTATATTCCTAATGAAGTTGAAAAAATAATAAATTTTGAGAGGGAATTTGCACGTATATTAACACCAGACGAGGATCGAAGAAATTTTACAAAAATGTTTGGGAAAAATTTTTTATTCTAATTAAAAGGACATTTTAAGGTACAATTTACACCACCTCTCAGAAATGCAAAAAATTTTTAATTTAATGAATTGGACAAAATATTTTGATTGGTTAGTCCCTTCAGAGATGCACGAATATTTAAAATCTGACCCAGAAATAATTTTGGCTGAACCAGAATATTTTGATAGATTAACTAAATTATTAAATTCAACGCCTGATGAGGTGAAGGCAAATTATATTAATTGGAGATATGTTTCGGCTTGGTCTTTCCAATTAAGTGAAAGTTATGATGATATTCAGCAGCACTTTCTTAAATCATTTTTGGGCAAGAAGGCGAAGAGCCCAAGGTGGAAGGATTGTGCCTCAGCGGCATGTAAGTAGACTATTATTGTAATTATATTTTTCCGGAAATAAACTTTTTCCGGAAATAAACTTTTTCCGGAAATAAACTTTTTCCGGAAATAAACTTTTTCCGGAAATAAACTTTTTCCGGAAATTAACTTTTTCCGGAAATAAACTTTTTCCGGAAAACAATGTTTTCCGGAATTCTTCATTTTCTCACATGTTTTGTTGATTTAATTTTCCGGAAAGGTTTTCCGGTTGATTATAAGATTTAAATGTTTTCCGGTTATTTTATAAAAATTAAATGTTTTCCGGAAAGGTTTTCCGGTTGATTATAAGAGTTAAATGTTTTCCGGTTTTTTATAAAAATTAAATGTTTTCCGGAAAGTTTTAAAGCATTATTTTTCCGGAAATAAACTTTTTCCGGTTGTTTTATATATTCTCTCTCTTTCTCTAGCCTCTCGAATGAGCTATGCCAGCGGTGCCATGTATGTCCGTGCCCATTTTGACCGTTCTTCCAAAGAGGCCGCCTTAGCAATGATAGAGGATTTGAGGGCCTCGTTTAAAGCAATGTTGGCAGTAAATGATTGGATGGATCCGGGGACTAAAGAATATGCCTTGATTAAAGCAGAACAAATGCTTAGTTTAATAGGCTATCCAGACTTTCTCTATAACGACACACAACTGGACGATTATTATAAAAATTTTGATTTACATCCTAATGATCATTATGCTTTACAAGTAGAAAGAGAAAATAAAAAATAAAAATTAAAAAAAAATTAAAGGTAGAAAAGGCAAGCATTTGGTCACAACGCAAAGCCTTCCGTCGCCTAATCGAGCCAGTCGATAGAGAAGAATTTGGGACGAGCAGCGCTGTTGTTAATGCTTTCTATTCGGGTGTTAAAAATGCTATAAGTCTGTCTAGAATTTTTGGGAATTTTCAAAAAAATTAATTTTCTTTCAGCATTCCCAGCAGCCATACTTCAATCACCCTTTTTTGATCGAGATTTCCCCAAAGCTACAAATTATGGGTGTATTGGGGCGGTTATAGGGCATGAAATTACTCATGGATTTGATGACCAGGTAGCCATGGAGGGGAAGAAATAAAATTATTTTAAAAAATTTTTAAGGGAGCTCAGTTTGATGGCCGTGGAAATTTAAAGGATTGGTGGGACCCGCTAACCCAGAAACGTTTTGTGGAGAGAAAAGTAAAAATTAAAAAATTAAAATAAAAAAAAATAAAATTTAATTTTTCTCTTAAAAGAAATGTATAATTGACCAATATTCGGCCTTTTCTGTCCCCCAAACTGGACTTAAAGTTAATGGAATACTTACACAAGGAGAAAATATTGCTGATAATGGAGGGATTAAACAAGTAAAATTAATTAAAAAATTATTTTAAAAAATTTAAAAATTAATTTGAAGGCTTATGCAGCCTATCAGGCTTATTTACGCAAGCATGGTCAAGAAAAACGCCTCCCAGGGTTGGAAAAATACAATAATGAACAACTCTTTTTTATTTCATATGCGCAAACTTGGTGTGGTCATACAAAACCGGAAACTGTCAGTTTTTAAATTATTGTAATTAAATTAACGTTTGTGAAGTTTCCGGAAGGTTTACAAATTGTAAAAATGAGAGAAATTAGTTCAATTTGTAAAAGGAAAACTTGTTCCGGAAATTGTAATTCCGGAAAACAAGTTGCATAAAGGAAACCTTTCCGGAAAGTTTAAAATAAAAATTGATGAATTTACAAATTGTAAAAGACATTTCCGGAAAAGTTCACAAATTGTAAACGGAAATAACAAATTGTAAAAATACGCTAATTTACCTATAACTTTTCCGGAAGGATTACAAATCGTAAAAGGAAACATTTTCCGTAAAGCTTAAAAAATATAAAATTAAGAGACTTATCTTTCAGCCTTTTCTGGAAAAATTACAAATTGTAAAATTACGTAAATTATTTAGACTTTTCCGGAAAGTTCGCAAATTGTAAACGGAAATAACAAATTGTAAAAATACGTTAATATATCTTTAACTTTTTCCGGAAGGATTACAAATTGTAAAAGGAAACATTTTCCGGAAAGCATAAAAAATATAAAATAGAGATATTTATTTCTCAGCCTTTTCCGGAAGGTTTACAAATTGTAAAAATACGCTAATTTATTAAATACGCTAATTTATTTTCCGGAAGGATTACAAATTGTAAATACTTACTCTAGATTTTTCCGGAAGGTTTACAACTTATAAAATTAAGTTACTTATTCTACACTTTTCTCAAAAGCTTACAAAATATATAATTGAGTATTTTTCAGTCTTTTCCGGAAGGGTTACAAATTGTAAAACTAAGTTAATTATTCTATACTTTTCCGGAAAGGATTACAAATTGTAAAAATAAAACTTTTTCCGGAACTTTTTCAAATAATTACCTAATCATTTATTTCCAGTTAATCCGACAACTTCTGACTGACCCCCACTCTCCCTATCGCTACCGAGTTAACGGCGTAGTTGTAAATCAACCAGAATTTACAAATGCATTTAAATGTCAAGAGGGTGCAGCAATGCGTTATTCTGAAGAAAGGAGATGTTCTGTTTGGTAAAACAAAAAAATAAAATATTTTTTTAAATTTTTTGTATATTTGTTTTTAGGATTCCCTTATCCACTTCTCTTCCTTTCCTCTTCATTCTCTCTCTATTTTTATGCCTTGCCCATTTTTTGAATTTTTTATTTGTAAATCTTTTTTCCTTCTTAATTTTTTAAATCCTTCCCCCCTTTCTGTTGCAATATACTTTCCATAAAAATAAAAACGAAAAACTTCCTCCAATATATTGTTAATTTTTTAAAAATATTTGAGATAAATGTACACTTTTTTTTGTAAATTTAAATAAAGGAACTAATATAAAATATTATTATTACATGATAAAGCAACAATTTTTGTTTTACAATTTGTTCAAAAAAGTTTTTAAACTAATTGACGTTCTGGTTCTTTAGGCGAATCTGTCCATGCAAATTTAAGAAATACAAGTAAGCTGATAAGATTTAAAAATTGAAAAATTATAAGACAAGCATAGTCCAATTTTACAAATATTCTAGCCCATTCAGATTCAATCTAAAAAATTTTTTCAAAAAATTTTTTCAATTTATTTTTCACCTTTTCACGAGTTTTATCTTTCTCAAGTCTCTTTCTAAAGCCTCTCTGAGTTTCTACTACAAATCCAAGCATTGTTCTAATTGTAGATAATTCTATTGTAAGATGTTCAAAAAATAGTGGAATATTGGATATACTTAAAAATTCATATGTATTTTGAATTTAATTTTAAAAATGTGATTTTTATATCAATCGAAAGCTCTGAATGTGTGGAATATTTTACTTAACAGTATTGACATAATCGGATCATTTTACAAAAAGTTACAGCCGGAAATGTGCGCTCAATCGTGATTTTCGTCATTTATTTGACTATAACTTTTAATATAATGATCCAATCAGGATAACCCTGTTAGGTAAAATAATCTCCACATTCTCAGCTATCGAATGATACAAAAATTGTTCAGATCCGTTAAGAATTTAGAAAGTTATGATCCAAAATATTCCTTTGAAACTGCTATAGATAGAGTATTTTCATTAAATATTAATTATTTTCCGGAATTGTATTCTTTCCGGAAACATTAAAAAAATTAATTTAAAAATTAAAAAATTAATTTTCTCACTCAATATTTGTCGTTGTAGCCCTTCTCTTTTTATTATCACCATTAAAATTATCCTCAAGTTTAGGTGACAGACGACGATTATTATTGTTTAATACCCCATTTTTGTTGTTTAATCTTTCTTTTGTTTCCCCAAAACTTCCATAATTATTTTTATTTTCTTCACAATCCCCTCCCTCCCCTCCCTCTTCTTCCATATAAGGCTCGGTAAACCGAATTCCTCCAATAAACAATTGTTCTCTCAACGACTTTCCTCTATTTAACAATAATCCTTCCCCTTCCTCTTCTTTATTTATCCTCTTCAAGTCTTTGGTTCTTTTTATCCTCGGCCTAACCAAAGACAGTTTATATGTTAATTGACTGGGGATACGCGCCCCTTCTACATAACGCTTTGAAGAAGCCATAAATGCCATTGAAATGGCTACCGATATAGCACAGAGAAGGATGACGACAAGTATGTAGACGCCCAAAAGGGGAATTGAGTTTGATTTGGGCATTGCCTGTAAAATTGTGTAAATGTTAATATTGAGGTGAGCGACTGTCGTGTTCTCATATGTCACGTTCTAAAATGTCGTGTCCATAAATGTATGTTCATAAGTGTCGTGTCCGCAAACATCGTGTTCGCAAAGGTCTTATTCGCAAAGGTCTTATGTCTGTACACATAGGGGCTATTCACAAATGTTATGTCCACAAATGTCGTGTTCTCAAACGTCGTTCCGAAGATGTCTATTCAAACATGTCGTGTTCGCAAATGTTAAATAATTAAAACTCACCCCAGCAACAATTCCAAGCAGCACAGTCATAGCCAACAAACTTCCTAATCCCAACGAGACTTTTTCCCCTCTCGGTCCATCACTCGATCCAGGTGTGAAAATTCCAAGAATTGACAATGTCGAAATAAGGAATATAGGCACTACAATTACCGTTATATAAAATATTGGGCGTCTAAAAATTTTTTTGAGAGAAATTTTTGTGTGTAAATGGGGCATTTTACCGTCTCAAATGGAACACATATTGCACCTATTTTAATTAAAACTTTAATTTAAAAAATAAAATTAAAAAATGCCTCAGATCTGTATTCCCCCTCCTCCAAATAATGCATATCCCGAACTGATACATTTATTAAATTCCATTCTGAATTGCCGGCGAAATGGCTTTGTAAGGGTGGTTGGCTTGTATGGACCTTTTCAAAAAGTTTTTTAAAAAGAAATTTTTCAAAAATTTCCCGAAAACAACCTCCATTTCTTCGACTGTCAATAAAGGCGAAGCTAATGCTACCGCACAAAATTGAGTGTCAAAAGGGAACAGTTCAATGTTTAAACGACAAGTGCTACAAACGAAGGAATAGTTTTAATTAAATTTAATAAAAATCTCATTATAAGACACCTTTAGGGTTGAAAATCGTATCCTACATAGAGGTTGACTTATGTAGAGGTGTTGCTTATAAAGAGAGTATCTTATATAGAGAAACCTTATTATATGTACATCCTAAATAGAGGGTATCTCTTATATAGAGGGTAACTTATATAGAGCATCTCTTATATAGGGGGTATCTCTTATAATGGGGTATCTTATATAGAGGTATCATTTAAACCACCCCCCTTCCTAGATAGAGGTGTCTCTATGTATCTTATAATGATGATTAACCATAAAAACTTACCAAGTAACATACTGCGGAATATTGATCTTTATCTTGAAAAATTTCAAAAAATTTCAAAAAAAATTTTCAAAAAACTTGTCCATTATATTTCACTCTAGCATCATATTTTTCATCATTTAACATATCTTTTGTATCCATAGAATTATATACAAATATTTTGGGTTGCCAAATTGTTTTTGCTGGCACTATTAATTCTGTGATGTTTGAGTGAATTTTGGGTAACCAGGAAAGGCGGCTGTCTCTCCAGCGCTGGATGGGGAAAATTGAGAATTATTTCTAGGTAAAGTGAATTTTGACATTTTAACATTAGTAACTTGGACATTTTGGGCATTTTGTCCTTTAGGCATTTTGTCGTTTTGACATTTTGTCCTTTAGACATTTTGTCCTTTAGACATTTTGTCGTTTTGACATTTTGTCCTTTAGACATTTTGTCGTTTTGACATTTTGTCCTTTAGACATTTTGTCGTTTTGACATTTTGAAACTTAAGATCTTTCGACATTTTAACTTTTCGACACTTTGACATTTTACAACTACAGTATATTTATTTACAACACTAGAATACAACACAATAATACAATTACAAACTATACAATACAACACAGTTTTAGAACAAATATATATTTATAGACATCACAACATATATACAAACACACATCTATTTATTTATTTATCCCTCATCTCTTTCATTTCTTCCCTCCTTTCTTTTTACTCGTATGATATGCCGATCCCAGCTCCAGCTTTGAATAGTCCTTATCCATCTCCGCCCATTTCAGCGCCGCTTTTGCATCAACCTCCATCTTTTCCATTTTGGATTTGAGAGTGAAGAAGAGACAAATGAAGACAACGGCGAGGATTGTCCTATGAAAAGGGGAGAAGATTTAAAGCATTTAACCCTTTAAAACTCACATCAAAAGAGCAATAAAACCAAGAACAACCAACACAATGATGATTGAAGTGCCAAGCGGACAGTCTTCCTCAACCTTCGCTTCTGGTTTAGTCGTCTTGCCCTCATCAGTCGTCTTCTTGTTGTCCTTGTCTTTATCGCCTTCTTCCTTCACTTTGCCTTCTTTATCTTTCTCCTTTTCTTTCGGCTTTTTGGGCGAAGCGTCGGCAACAAACAGAGTGCCAAGTAGAAGAACCACAACAAAGAGACAGAAGATTTTGTTGTAGATTGATCCTGTAGATGAGCGACGGAAGAACATTTTTTGTTGTTTTTGTTATAGAAGGTTGTTGGAGGTGTTTGAAGTTTTTGTGGACGAAGAGAGTGAGAAGAATGTGAAGTTGGAAGCTTTTTATAGTAAATTTTTGAGGCGGCTTTTATGGGCGGGTTTCACCGTCTTTTCCTCTAATTTAAAGTTAAAAACAGAAAATACAAAACTTGACAACTTGAAAAACACTAACACATAAAGAAAACAAAGTATATGTCGTGTTTACAATTGTCTCGTCCACAGCTATAATGTTTACAATTGTCGTGTCCGCAATTGTCGTATTCATAAAAGACATGACCTCATTTGTCGTGTTTACAATTGTCATGTTAGCAATTGTCTTGTCCACAACTGTTGAGTTTACAATTGTCAGTTACGCAATTGTCGTGTTCACAAAAGTCATGTTCACATTTGTCGGGTTCACAATTATCATGTTCGCAAATATCGTGTCCATCAATATCGCTCTAGTAAGTGTCGTGAGTATTCAAATGTCGCATATACAAATGTGTTATTGGGATTAATTGTGTTTTTTATTCCGGAAAACAATTATGGGGATATTTTACAATTAATTAAGACTTTCCGGAAACAATAAATCAGGAAAACTTATTTAAATTAAACAATTTACTTGAATATGAGAAATAACATAAGCAGCAACCTGTTCATTTTCTCTCTTAAAAAAATTTTAAAAATTTCAAAAAAAAAAATTTTCCCAAACCATTTCAATTAAAATACCCAAAACTATTGTTACGTTAATATGCACAGTTTTTGAGTATTTATTTTCTCCAATTGGTTGGAGTCTTTTATCGTAATTGTGGAATAATTCGCTGAGTAGGCGTTGATGTGGAGAGGAAAAATCTTTTTAAAAAAAATTTTTTTGAAAAAATTTTTTCTTCTCAAAATTACCTCCAAAATTAAATCCTTCAATCCCTCTCCATAAAAACCAAAATTGAATCATTGGAAAAATTAGTAACAATTTTGTAAGGCGATATAATCCAAACAAGGGACTTTTTATTTGGGTAATAAGGGCATTGTTTGTGGATTTCATCTTGAAATAGATTATTTTTAAAAATTAATTCAACTGAAATTAAGCATCGTTAAGTCAGTAGAATGAAGGTTAAAGGTTCTTTTTCTTCCTCAGAGCCAAAAAAATTAAAAAAGGCCACGGGAGTTGGGGGACGGGGAACAACCCCTTATTGTATGCAGCTTGGCAAAAACCCTGGTAAAAAACGGGAGCTGTGCCCATTTAAGGGTAAGAATCTTCTCGCACTAATCCATAACACATGTTAAAAGGGTAGGTTAATCTCTACCTCGTCCCAAAGGCACGCCGACACGTCCAGAGGGACTATTAGTAAATTAAGGAAAGTAAGGGGAAGGGAAGTTTATCCCACCGCCTTTTTGGACAAATTCGACTGTCAATCAGCTTTTATAAAAAAAGGAAAAAATCTATATTTACTAGAGAAAATTTTGAATATAAAAAATATGTCAAAAAAAGGACAAATAAATAAAAATAAAATATAAATTGAAAGCGGAAATTAAATAAAAAAAGGAAAGTGTGTTTAGGACATTTAAAATAAAATAAATATTTTTTTGAGGAGAAAAGGGTTAAAAGTTTAGAAAATATGTTTAAAAATTGGACACATAGTCAACGTGGGAGAGTTTAGAAAAATTTTTTAGTCCAAAATTTTTTTTTCTTCCCTCAATTAGAATCACTGCTAGTACGTGGTGCTCCTGCTGAAAGACTTGTTGTGGTCGTGTCATCCCCCTGATCAAAGTCAGGAATATCATTAGCGAGAAGAGCGGGGAAGTTAAATTCTTCATTATCCTCTTCCTCTGGATCTTCAAAATTTTCGACTTGAGGGATTTGCTCATCTTCAGCATCTTGTGCCACTACATTGTGTTGCCATCCATTATTTCCCCATTCTTCATTATCATCCCATCCTACATAATCTTCAGGCTGTTGATCTATTTCGTCTGGCTCTCCCTAAATATTAGAATCATCAAAATAACTCGTTATAATGGCATCCTTGGGATCTACACTAAAATTAGTTGATGGGGAGGGACTGGTACACGTTTTATCTCGCTTAGGTATCTATTTCTCAAGCGCGGAGGGGGCAACTCTTCTGGGAGTATACTATAGCAAGATTCGAGTGTATCGTAATATCTCACAACTTTATCCAAATCCTCAAGATTCAGAGTTTGGATAAAGTAAAGGTTGATAGTTGAAGAATAATTTTAATTTTAAACCTAGAAATATTTTCTCTTATTTCTTAAAAAATTTACATCGTGTTGAGGATCATGAACGATATCGCCACCACCTTCTTCTTGTGCACTCCAACAACACCCACAATTTCCAATTTTAATAATAAAAACAAAAAATAAAAATAATTTAATTAATTTAAATAATTTGGTTGACATTTTTTAAATTTTTAAAAATTCTTTTTTCGCTTTCTAAAAAATTTTATGAGGGTTTTTAATTATCCGATTAACCAAAAACAATTTTTTTATCATTTTCCCGACATTAACAAATAAAAATACCCTTAGAGGCATCGAACCTGCACCCCCAACCACCCGCTCACACAATACTAAACCACTACACTACGAGTAATTTAAATATTTAAAATTTTTAGACAAATTTTCTAGCATTGTAATACACTAAAAATTATTTTCGGTCGACTTTTCTAACATTAACAAATAAAAATACCCGGAAAGGGTTCGAACCTGCACCCCCTACCACTCGCTAACACAATTTAATTAATTTAAAATATTTTTTAATTAATAATTATTTTATTGGGGGGAAAAATATAATTTTAAAAAATTTTTAATTAAACAAGGCAATTTAAATATTGAATTAAATTTCTCAATTAAATCCCCTCTCCCTTCTATGTATTTCCTTCATCTATTTCTTTATTCAATTTAGAATTTCCTTAACACCCCCCCCCCCATCGACAACTCTAACAGCAAGGCTGCTTCCTGTGCACGCTCGTAAAAATCTTTAAAAAATTGATTGATTTGGTTTTTGATGTCCAATTTTTTTAATAAATTAATTTGTTTAATTTAAAGAATTCTTAAAAAGTTGAAAAACATGGTAATATTGACTTTATATTTTTACTTAATCATTTTCCTTTGAAAAATCAAACCCAGAGAACCTGCAACCCCAACCACCCGCTTACTAGTGATGTTCGAGAGTCGAAAAAAGCCGAGAGTCGAGACCGAGAGCCGAGAGTCGTCTCAATTTTCTCTTTCTTTTCATCTTGCGCCTTCCATCATTCGCTCACTTTTTTCTCTTTACCATCATTAAGGGGTGTATCTTTGGAACCGGTTCCACGGTACCAGTTCCAGACCTTTGCCGGTTCCACTGTATCGGTTCCGGAACCCCAGCATCACTGCCAGCCTAGTACTATCAAAAAAAATCGGCTGCCTTTAGAAAATTTTACTACAGACTTGAAATAAATGAATACAAGGTTAAATTAGTTAAAAAAATTTTTTTGTTAGATATCCACAAATCTGATAGTTTGTCAAAAAACTTGAAAACATCTTTCAATTCTTCCTCATTCCTCAGGGGGAAGAACTTGTTGTACTTCCTCCTAGTGGTGTAAATCCTGGGGTTGTTGTATGAGTATGTACTTCATCAAATCCTTCAACCTCATCAGCGTCTTGAAGTAATGGAGGCAAGTTTTGTTCTCCAAGATTTGCAAAAAATTCAAAATCCTCTGGAGCATCATGGATTTCATTATCATCTTCTTCTTCATCCTCTTCCTCGTCCTAAATATTAAAACAAAAATAAATATGTACTTCAGTGTCTCGCAAATTTGTTCAAATCCCCCTTCGAAAGAATTTTTATCACTTTATTTTCTGGTTTTAGTTTCTGGTGCCGTTATAACAGAAGCAGAGTTGTTTAAAAAATATTAGCTGTTATCCTTGCTAGGGTTGCGGATAATACCACCCCCATTTTTACCTCGAACTCGTACCAAGTACGAGGTACAAGTAGAAATTTTGGTATGAGCGAAGCACTGCTTATAACCAAATTCAGATCTGATATCTAAGCCAAGCTTTAATTATCCGAATCGTCCGGCTCCGACATTTTTAAATACTTGGAGCTCCCTCCAAGTATTTGAACTCTTAGCTCTGTGCTCTAGTTATAACTTTAATTTTTGGTGCCGTTTGACCGGAGTCAGGTACATTTAATGAAAAGTTTACTTGGTTTTGATCAAAATGTTGTACGGGTTGCTGATTTTGACCAAAATTTGGTTCTGCTCCAACATCCAAAATAAAAATTTAAAATTAATTTGAATAAATTTACTATCACATACCTTCATTATCGTTATCTTCTAAGACATCTCCACTGCTACAACCACATCCACAATTTACAATTTTAATAATAAAAACAAAAAATAGAAATAATTGAATTAATTTAAATAATTTTGTTGACATTTTTTAAAAATTCTTTTTTTTTTGCTTTCTAAAAAATTTTAAACGAGTTTTTAAATATTTCCACTGACTAAAAATAATTTTCTATACCTTTACTAACATTTACAAATATTTTTAAAATTCTTAAAAAATTTTTTTTGCTTTCTAAAAATTTCTAAAAGGTTTTTAATTATTGGGATTAACTAAAAAACAATTTTTTATCATTTCCCGACAATAACAAATAAAAATACCCTTAGAGGCATCGAACCTGCACCCCCAACCACCCTCTCACACAACATTACACCACTACACTAACGAGTAATTAAAATATTTAATTTAAATAGTATTTAAATTTTTTAAATTAGACTGCTTTATTAGATGGATATAAGTTAAAAGAATTTTTTAAATGATTTGGGAGCGTACCCTTTGGGTGAGCTTATACCCTTCAATTTTTAATTTTCCCTCTCTCCTCCCCAATAAAAATACTTTAACATTAAGACGATTTCCGTTTGCCACGCTTCTTTCTATAAAAGAATTTTTAAATTGATTAAATTAGATTTTTAATCGCTTATTTTAATTAAACAAGAATTAAAGCAACTTAAAATAAAAAATTAAATAAATATTTTTAATAGTTTTTTAGTTCAAAAATAATAAAAATTAATATTTTGGGTGTTTTTAACCTTTAAAAATTTTTTATATTCTCTGAAAAAAATTCTTTAAAAGTTTTTCTAGCATTGTAATACACTAAAAATAATTTTCTACCACTTTACTAACCTTAATAAATAAAAATGCCCGGAGAGGCATCGAACCTCCACCCCCTAACAACAGTAAACACAACACTAAACCACTACACTAACCAGTAACTTATTAATTTAATTATTCAAAAGTATTTTTTAAATTAATTATTATTTTATTACGGGAATATAATTTAGAAAAAAATTTTTTAAATAAATTTGTTTCTTAAAAATTTTTGGCAATTGAATTTAAATATCCGATAAAATTTCTCTATTAAATTCCCTCTCCCTTCTATTGCCTTATCCAATTCCTTGTTAATTTTTAAATTTCTTCACCCCACCCCCCTCCTCAATAACTTCTCCCTCCTCCTCCACGATAACTCTAACCGCAAGGCTATTTCCTGTTGCAACGTTTTTTTATTTTTTAGTGTCAAAAAAATTTTTTTAATTGATTGATTTGGCTTTTCAATTGCCAATTTTTATTTTATTTTATTTAATTTTTATTTAATTTTAAAAAATTTAAAAATTCTAAAATTTCAAGTTTTGATACTTAAATTAAAGTAAATCAAAATAAAATTGAATCAACGCTTTTTCTTTACTTTTTTAATTTAAAAAATTAAATAAAAATTAATTTTTTGGGTAGCTTTAGGTGAGTTTTTTTATTTCTAGTTTTTTAAGTCTCTAAAAATTATAAGTATTTTCTAGCGGTTGTAATACACTAAAAAATAATTTTCTACGACTTTTCTAACATTAACAAATAAAAATATCCATAGAGGGGTCAAACCTTCACCCCCTAACAATAGCAAACACAACACTAAACCACTACACTAACGAGTAATTAATTGAAAATTAAGTTTTGCTACTACATAGCATCCACTTTTACTACTAGTCTTGTACTATCGAGAAAAAAAACATTAAAAAATTTTACTAGAAATTTAAAATAAATGAACAATTTTTTTAGTCTCACAAATTTGCATAATTTTTGTCAAAATAATTTAAAAATCTTTTAAAATTCTTCCTCATTATTCAATGGAGGAACCTTCCATTGTAGAACTTGTTGTACTTCCCCTTGCACTTCCTTCTAATGGTGTCAATCCTGGCGTTGTTGTACCCGTAGTTTGTTGTTCTTGTTGTTCTTGTTCTTGATCAAATCCAGGAGGATGATTAATACCCGGAGGCATGTCAAAAGCAAATTCCATATCATCATCTTCTTCTGCTTCATTTCCCCCATTAAAGTCAAAATCATGTGGTGGAACGGGGATTTGGTTATTATCGTCTTCTTCTTCCTCCTCTTGATTTCCTTGATGGCCTTCCTGATCTCCTTCCTGATTTTCTTGTCCTTCTCCCAGCTCTTCCTAAATATTAAAACTTAAATAAATTACATCTCGCCATTCATTTGAGCCCTCTCCCTCGAAGGATGTTTATAAATGCCGTTAAAACCGGAGTCAAGTTTTTTTCTAATAAAAAGTTACTTGATGTTGATCTACAGGTTGTTCGACTCCATGGAGGTGACTCAAACTTGGTTCTCCTCCAACAACTAAAATTAAATTTAAAAAAATTTAAATAAGAATCCCATTAAAATACCCCCACCATCATTATCATCATTTAAACCATCTCCTCCTTTACCACAAATACAACCGCAATTTATAATTTTAATAATAAAAACAAAAAATAAAAATAATTGGATTAGTTTAAATAATTTTGTTGACATTTTTTAAACTTTAAAAATTTTTTTTGCTTTCTAAAAAATTTTTAAACAAGTTTTTAAATAGAGCCAAGGATTAAAAACAATTTTTCATCATCTTCCCAACGTTAACAAATAAAAAGGCCGGAAAGGAATCGAACCTGCACCCCCTACCACTCGCTAACACAACACTAAACCGCTACACTAACGATTTAAAAAAATAAAATTCCATTAATGCCAATTAGTAATCAAATAATTTAATTATTTAAAATATTTTTTAATTAATTATTATTTTAATGGGGGAAAATAATATAATTAAAAAAATTTTTTTTAATAAATTTATTTTTAAAATTGTTAATAAACAAGGCAATTTAATTATTAAATTAAATTTCTCTATTGAATCCCCTCTCCCTTCTATTTCCTTCCTCTATTTCTTTAACATTTTAGAATTTTCCTTAACATCCCCCCTATTGACAACTCTAACAGCAAGACTGCTTCCTGTTGCCACGCTTTTTCTTGTAAAAATTTTTAAAAAATTGATTGATGATTTTTAATGGCTAATTTTTATTAAATAAATTAATTTGTTTAATTTAATTTTTTTTTAAAAACTTGAAAAAAACTTAGAAATATTCTCTTTGTATTTTTATTTTATCATTCTTCCTTGAAAACTCAAAAATAAATTAATTGCCACTGAAAGGAACCGAACCCACGACCCTTTCTGTTGACGAACACACAACTACCCAACTTAACCACAAACCTCATATACAGAAAAGTTACAATTTTAATTTCAGAGGACTAATGGACCCTTGTTCAGCTATTTTTCTTGACTTTATTTTAATCAAAACATTCTTGCTATTTAGTTTTCCTTCTGAGGAAAACTCAGAATTAACAAAAAGGATCTCAAAAAAATTTATTGAAAACAAAAAGGTCATAATTTTTAGTCTGAAATTGAAAATCATTTTGGTCAACTTGAGGAGCAACATAAATTCGGACAGGATCCGGATACACTGGGATTTTACAGGGTCATTCAACTCGTTTGGAATTATCTTAAAAAGACAGCTATAAACCGTCGAATATCCCCCTAGATATCCATCTAATTACTAATAGGAATTGTAAGAATCAGCTGAGCCTTGATTTGCAACCAAAGCTGTGATTTGAACGATCTTTAGGGTTTTCTCATCATAGCGGAAAATTTTTAAATTTCGCCTTTCACAAAATTCCGCCTTTTTGGTCTTTCGTCTTTCGCTTTTTAAAATCTGGTTTGCCGCATTCCTTTAGTCACTATTAAAAAAAGCGGCTGCCGTTGAACTTTTACTAAAAATTTAAAATAAATAAAAATAAAATTGATTCAATTTTAAATGAATTTTTTTGTTAGTCTACTACTGCAGATTCTGCAATTTTTATCGAAGCTTTTAAACATCCTTCAATTCTTCCTCATTCCTCAAGGGGAAGAACTTGTACTTCCTTTTGTACTTCCTCCTTGCGGTGTAAATCCTGGGGTTGTACCACTTGTTCCTTCATCAAATCCTTCAACGTCAGCAGCGGGGTGTTGAAGTAATGGAGGCAAATTCTGCTCTCCAAGATTTGCAAAAAATTCAAAATCCTCTGGAGCATTAGGAATTTGATTATCATCTTGCTCTTCTTCTTCATTTCCTTGTGGAACAAATTCAAAATTATCTGGAGCAGCATGGATTTCATCATCATCATCTTCTTCACCATCTTCTTCTTCTTCATCCTCTTCGTCCTAAATATTAAAACAAAAATATGTCCATCATTGCCTCACATATTTGTTCAATCCCTCCTCGAAAGAATGTTTATGGCTTAAGTTTTTGGTGCCGTTATAACAGGAGAAGAGTTGTTACAAAAAAATATTAGCTGTTATCTTTGCTTAAACACTCAGAATTTAAAATAGTCAAGGACTAGGGTTGTGGATCCTGGAATCACTGATAACCAAATTCAGATCTGATATCTAAACCTGGATCAAATCCGACACCTTCAAACCCCTTCAAATCCTGGCTCTGGCTCTGAGTATTAGAACTCTTGGCTCCGTGCTCTAGTTATTCCCAAAGTTTCTGGTGCCGTTTAACAGGAATCAGGTATATCTAATTAAAACTTTACTTCGTTTGGATCAAGATGTTGTACGTGTTGCTGGTGTTGACCAAAACTTGGTGCTGCTTCAACAACTAAAATAAAATTAAAAAGAATTTAAATATGAGTCCCATTAATATACCTCCACCATCGTTATCATCATCTAAACCATCTCCTTCTTTACCACAAAAACACCCACAATTTACAATTTTAATAATACAAACGAAAAATAAAAATAATTGAATTAATTTAAATAATTTTGTTGACATTTTTTTAATTCAGAAAGAGAGTTTTTGCTTTTTAAAAAATTTTAAACGAGTTTTTAAATATTTCCACTACTAAAAATAATTTTCCACGACTTTTTAACATAAAAAAAATAATAATACACGGAGAGGCATCGAACCTTCACCCTAAAAATCTGTCAACACAACACTATACCACTACACCAACGAGTAATTAATTAAATAGGTAAATTATTTTGCTAGGGGAGCGGAATGTGTAGACTAAAAAATACTTTTCTACCACTCGTCTAGATTATTAAATAATAATACCCGGAGAGGCATCGAACCTTCACCCCCTAACAACAGCTAACACAACACTAAACCACTACACCAACGGATAATTAATTAAAGATTAATTTTAAAATAATTTTTTAATTTAATTAAAATATTTTAATAGGGGAATAGAATTAAAAAAAATTTTTTTCTTAATAAATTTCTTTCTTATAAAATTATTTGGTAAATGGATAGTAAACATGCTAGTGAATTTCATATTCGCTCTCTCTTCAATTTCCCTCATTAATTCCTCTTAATTTTAAATTCTCCCCATCACCTCCTTCTCCTGCTTCTCCATAGCTCTATCAGCAAAGCTTCCTGTTGCCACGCTTTTTGTTTTGACTATTCTTTCTAACATTGATCTATTTGGCTTTTAATGGCTTATATTTATTTAATAAATTAATTTAATTAATTTAACTTTTAATTGAAACACATTTTAAAAATTTAAAAAACACTGGCATTTCATCTTTTTATTTTTATTTTATCAGTTTTATTTTAAAAATCAAAAATAAATAAATTGCCACTGAAAGGACTCGAACCCACGACCCTCCCTGACGGCGAACACACAACTAACCAACTTAACCATTAACGCTCATTTGAAGATTACTTTTAGAGAACGACATTTTTACAAGCTTTCTTTTTCCTCTTCCCTTAAGAAGAGATTCTTTCTCTTTCCTCAATTGTCTGAAGTATCATCTTCTTTGAAGATGAGGAAGGAGGAAATCAAGAAGAGACACTTTTTGACTACAACGAGTATTTAATTAATTTATTTGTTGGGATTTTTGCATTAGATAGAAAATTTTTTATGCTCGTATGAAAAGATAACTACATACTAAAAATTAAAATAAATGAAAACATTGTAACTTTGTCTTTGAATTTTCAATTTTTGATAGAAATTAAAAAAAATCATCTTAGGTTTTTTTCACTTTAGGTTCTTTAGCATCTTTAGGTTCTTCCTCTTTCCTCAATTAGTAGAACTTGTACTATCGCCTCCTGATGCTAATCCTGGTGTTGTGTTACCTGACATTTCATCAAGACCTTCCTCAAAATTAACAATTGCTTGTTGAAGATCAAGTTCCTCCTCTTCATCCTCCTCCTCTTCATCTTCTTCCCCATCCTCCCCTTCTTCCCCCTCTTCCTCTTCATCCCCTTCTTCTTCATTCCCCTCTTGTACATTTTCTACATTTCCTACATTTCCTTCTTCCTAAATTTAAAAACAAAAATCCAGCCAATTTATTCAAGCCCTCAGGATTAAAATTACGATATTTTGTGGGGTTTTTGATAGGTAGATGAGAATTATTTTTAAAATGCGGATTTGCGGATTTTTATTGTCTCTTGAAGATTATGAGGATTTTTTATATTTTCTTCTAGTTTTTAGAATAAAATCTGCCAAAATTCTCAAAATTTTCGCCCCGGCTCAAGCAATTTCTGTTTAATATTTTACGAATTTTTGATATAAAAGGGGATTTTTCTGCCTTATTTTTTTAATTTTTTATTTTTAAAAATTCGAGATTGTAGTTGTAAATGTTTAAAATTAAAAAATTTACAAGGTTTGGAGGGTTTAGGGCTGCCTGGTGTTGACCAATATTTTGTTCTCCTCCCTCGTTTTGAGCAACATGTTGGACTCCTCCTTCATTACCTATAATTAAATTTAAAAAATCTAAATTTCAAAAATCCAATTGATATACCTCCAGCATCGTTATCCTCTAAACCATCTCCTCCTTTACCACAAAAACACCCACAATTTACAATTTTAATAATAAAAACAAAAAATAGAAACAATTTAATTAATTTAAATATTTTTGTTGACATTTTTTTAAATTCTTTAAAAATTTTTTTGCTTTCTAAAAAATTGTAAACGAGTTCTTAAATATTTCCACTGACTAAGAATAATTTTTTACGTTTTTTATAACATCAACAAATAAAAATACTCATAGAGGCATCGAACCTGCATCCCAACCACCCGCTTACACAATAATACACCACTAAACTACGAATAATTTATTTAAAATTTTTTAATTATTAGGTGAATTATTATTTTAAATATAATTATTATATGCACTTTATTAAGTGAATGAAAGCTAAAAAATTTAGGGGGCCCTATCATCTTTAATTTTTGTATTTCTCTCTCTCTCTCTCCCGATAAAATGCCTTAACATTAAGACGACTTCATGATATTGCCACGCTTTTTTTAATAAAAATTTTTTTAATTGATTGAATTTGATTAATCAATTTTAATTAAATTAATTAAATTAAAAAATTAAAAAATTAAATTAATGTTTTTAATAGTTTTTTAATTTAAAAAACAATGAAAATTAATTAATTTCTGGGTGTTTTTTTAATTTTTTAAGGTCCTAAAAATTTTTTTAAAGGGTTTCCAGTATTCTAATACACTGAGAATAATTCTCTACAATTTTTCTGACATTAAAAAATAAAAATTCCCTGAGAGGCATCGAACCTTACCCCCTAACACAGCAAACACAATACTAAACCACTACACTAACGAGTAATTTATTAAATAAGTGTTCTAAAATTATTTTCTAATTAAAAGAAATAAAATATAAAAAACATTGGAATATTTTTTATTTTATCATTTTTTATTTAAAATATCAAAATAAATGAATTACCACCGAAAGGACTCGAACCCACGACCTTTTCTACTAGTGAACACAAACCTAACCGACTTAACTACTAATGTTTATTTAATTAAAGGGGCATCAATTTATTTTCAGAGGGTACTTTCCTGTTATGACGCAACACATTTAAATTTTTTTGAAAAAGCTAAAAATGCTCAACAAGTTAAGAGTTAGGCATGTTAAGAGTTAGGCATGAACAAACAGTTAAGACAGTTAAGAGTTAGCAAAACACTACGGTAGACTGGTCTCAATATATGCGGGAAATTAGTACTTATTATCTGCTTCAAAAAGAACCATAAAATTTTTTCCCATTTTTGCTTCAAAAAAAGAACAAATTCCGCCAAACACCCACTGAGGTGGGAAAACACGTGGGAAAAAGGAGGAAAAAATTTCATGCTTATTATTACTATTTTTGAACATTTTTAGCTTTTTTAAAAAAATTTAAATGTGTTGCGTCATAACAGGAAAGTACCTTTCAGAGAATTAAAGGACACTTTTACCGAGTTTAGCGATTTTTCTCGACTTTATAAATATTTTAATAATTAATTGGGTATTTTATCACACCAGTCTCGCTTTAAAACACAAAATTGTGCCCATTTTTCAAGTCAATTTATCCATTTAAAAAATTATTTTTTAACTCAAACTCTTCAATTTTTAAATTTTCTTCTTCATTTTCAATAACAATCATCCATTTTTTGTCATCTTTTCTTTTTATTTTTCTTTTTGGGTTTAATAAATGGCTAATTTTTGGGCATTTTCTTCCTCTAGACACGTTTCTCGGGGAATTTTCTTTGGAAAAAATTTGAATTTTTTAATTTCTAAAATTCTTAAAAGACCATTTATGTTAATATAAAGAAAACAAAAAGCTCCAGCAGACGAGGCAGGCCCATGGCATAACAATAAAATTAATGCAAGCGAAAATAAAATTAGGGTTAGAATAAATAATCCGGTTAGAAATGAAAAAGTATCTTCGTTTGGTGTTTTGATGGTTGTTAAATTATCTTGAAATTTTTAAGTTTAAAAAATATTTTTTACCATATTTTATAAAAAAGAGACGAGAAAAAAAATTATTTTCCCCCAAACGGGTTCGAACCCACGACCCCTATACAAGGGAAACACAACCTTAACCAACTTAACCACAAATACTTTTCCAATATTAAAGATAAAAATAGGCAAGTCTGAAAAACATTTTTCTCATCATTTTTCTTTAAAAAGGACGGAAAAAAATATTTTCCCGCGAACGGGTTCGAACTCACACCCCTCATACAAGGGAAACACAATCCTAACCAACTTAACCACACCTAATATTTTCTTTTTATCCTATTAAATTACCGTATTTTCTGGCATTTAATTCTTCTAAGGAAATGCATTCTGAAGTTGTATTTAATTTATTAAACCAACAAAAAGTTCCGTTGGGGCAAGGAAGTAGTTGATTGGAGCATTCTTTATTTGGCTAAATATTTTTTTAATTTATAGAAAAATTTGAACAAATCTTATCATAAAAAACAAGTTTTTCTTATCAATTTTAAATAAAAAACGAAGAAAAAATTAATTTACCCCGAAAGTGTTCGAACCTTACACCCCTCCAAGGGTGAACATACAACTAACCAACTTAACCAACCCGTCCCTTTTGGAAATTTTTATAATAAGGTGGCTTAAATCGGCCTCTCTTCTATTTCTTATTCATTCCTATTATAAACCTCCAAACTCGGACCAGTTTGCTCAGTTGGTTAGTAGTGTGTTCCTTTCTGAAGGGGGTGTAAGTTTCGAAACTTTCGGGGTAAATTAATCTTTTCTTTCATTTTTAAAAATTTTTTATTAAAAATAAAATTAAAGAACCACCATAATTAATCTTTCTTCACAATGTTCTCCTCCAAAATATTTTTTACATTTACAAAAATATTTTTTTCCTTCTTTTCTTTTAATTTTTTCTTCTTGTTTAAATTTATTTAAATTTTTTCTTTTGCGCAATTCAATGCAAATACCTCCATTCCAACAGGGAAAGGCATCACAAGGACTGCCCTCTTTTTTTTTTAATTTTTAAATTTTTTTTTAATAATTTTAAATTCACCATAAACTAAGCGAGATGAGACTCCAAATATTCGCAAATCTCCAAGTGGTTGAATTGAGAGGGAAGGGAATATTGGGGAGTTAATATTTTGGGTATTGTTGGTATTCATTTTTTAACTTTAAAAAATATTTTTATCACCAATTTTTAAAAAAGATGAATAATTTTCTTATTTTTCTTCAAAAAAAACGGGAAAAAATTAAATTGCACCCAAAAGGATTCGAACCTGTTACCCCTATAAGGGTGAACAAACACCCACCCGACTTAACTACGACTACCACTATTAAAAATAAAAAGACCATTTTTAAAAATATTTTTCATAACATTTTTCCTCAAAAAGACGAAAAAAAAAATTATTTCCCCCGAACGGGTTCGAACCTACCACCCCTACAAGGGGAGACCAAATTTCAAAAAATTTTCGCCTGCGGCGCTGAAAATGGGAGAAATCTGACTACTTGGGCTCCAAATTTCAAAAAATTTTCGCCTGCGGCGCTGAAAATGGACGAAAGCTTGAGGTTAAGACTGTCAGGGCTTTATTTCTTGTATCAGCGAATTTTGACATGTCATGCGTTGAAATGCACAAAATGCCCAATGGAAGCAAGAAATTATTAGAAAAGATTCATTTAAGAGAGAAATATAAAAGATTTGAGCACGAACAAATATTTTCCAATTTAATTTTGAGTATACTTTAAATTTGGAAATTTTCTCCCTATATACTTTTTTATCAAGATTTTGATACTTTTGAGTGGCATTTTGTCGATGAGAGCCCTGTTATATGTTTATATTTTCTTTTTAACTAAAAAAATGCCCAATTTAGCATGGGAAAATATTTGTAAAGAAAATAAAGGTTTTGGAAAATGTTTTTAAGTTGCAAAAGAAAAATAACCTTAAAATTAATTAAAGGGAAAAATTTAATTAAAAATTTGCGGACAATTTTTGCGGATAGTTTCAGTGCATAGGCAGAGGTTTAAGAAACCAAGTCTTCACAGTTTTATCAAACCCCATACCTATAAAATATTTAACCAGCCCCAATACCAACAAAAAAACTCAAAATTAAATTTTAAAAAATTTGCGGACAGAATTTGCGGACAGAAAAAAATTTGCGGACAAATTTTGCGGATAGTTTCAGTGCTAGGCAGAGGTTTAAGAATAATTTACTCAAAAAATTCTGTCAAATCCCACACCTATGAAACATTTTGGTCAACCAAGGACAACAAAAAAAACTCAAAATTAATTTTAAAAAATTTGCGGACAGAAAAAAAATTTTGCGGACAGAATTTGCGGACAAATTCAACGTCCGCAAAATTCAAAAAAAATTAAAACAAATTAATATAAATATTTAACTATTTTTGTTGCCTTTAAAAACAAGAAAAATATAAAATTCAAAGCCTTTCCCCATCTTTTACACAATTTGTCTTTATTTTTACTTTTTTTGTTAAAAAAATTTCCCACGGGAATAGAAAAAAATTAATTGTAAAATGCCTTTTAAAAAATAATAAATTATTTATTTTTTCTTTTAATTTAATTTTACAATTAAAAATATGTCTAAAAAGTCTCAAAAAATTTTTTAAAAATTTTAATCAAAAATTATTTTTTTGATTAAAATTTTTGCGGACAAATTTTTGCGGACAAACTAATTTAAAATAAAATTTAATTTACTTTCCTTTAATCGATTTTTGATATTCTTCTCTAAATAATTGTCCAAACCTCTCAATTCTTTTATTATTCAAAATTTTTGATTTAGCTCCAAAGGTTGTCCGGATGAGGAAACGAGCTGCTCGGCGAATTGGCGACGAATCTGCTAACTGAACGGAAAAAAATTTTTTTAAATTTAATGGTCGTAAAATGACTTTTAAACACCCTTGAAAATGGTAAGAGTCTCCTTACAACTGTGAGGAATACGTAAAACTTGGGGCTATCCGATATAATCAACTATCCGATATAATCACAATATTCATAATAGTAATCAAATATCTATTATTGAAGATGTTGATTTTGATATAACTGATATTATTAGTTTCATTAAAAAATTACCCAATAGAAATGGAACCTCACCTGATAATATTAATTATAAAATATTAAAGATTGCACTCCCGTCCTTAGCTCCTTTTCTATCTGAAATATTCAGAATATCATTAGATTCAGGTATATTACCAAATATATGGAAAGAATCTTTAATAGTTCCATTATTTAAAAAAGGAGATAAATCAAATCCTGAAAACTATAGGCCTATTGCATTAACTTGTGCAACATGCAGGGTTATGGAAATGATTATTAATAAATATATTGTTCAATTTCTTCATGACAATAATTTATTTAGTGATAATCAATTTGGATTTATAAAAAATAGATCCACTACAACACAATTAATTACTACATTAGAAGATTGGTATGATGCAATAATGGGAAAAAAGAATATTGACTGTATATATATTGATTTTAAAAAGGCATTTGACTCAGTACCACATGATCTGTTAATCAATAAATTATATAGAATAGGTATTAGAGGAAAAATTTTAAGCTGGATTTCAGCGTTTCTTTCGGACAGAACTTTCAGAGTTAAAATAAACAATACGTTATCTAAACCTAGAAATATTAGATCAGGTGTCCCCCAAGGATCAGTCTTAGGCCCATTATTATTTTTGATTTATATCAATGATTTACCTGATGTAATCCCAAAAGGTGTAAAGATTAAACTTTTTGCTGATGATGTTAAAGTATATGTTATACATAAAACTAAAAATGAAAGAAGAATGCTTAATAACGCTATCAAAAATATTGAACATTGGGCAACTGAATGGAAATTGAATATATCTATTAATAAAACATATATAATTTATCTTGGTAAAACTAACCCTAAAGATCAATATAAAATTTTTGATACAACTATTAATGAAGTAGATTCTATACGTGATCTAGGCATCATAATTGATAATAAACTCAGATTTCAAGAACATGTACAAAAAATTATTCGGGCAGCTTATATAAAAATGAATTTTGTGTTCAAAATAATTAAGTCAAAATCTATAAAAACATGGCTTACTATCTATAAAAGTTACATAAGACCATTGCTAGAATACTCCCCTGAAACTTGGAATCCGCAACTAAGATCTGAAGTTAATAAAATTGAAAAATGTCAGAAATTCTTTACAAAATCCCTTCTCAGAAAATGCTCACTACCTTATATACCATACTTCCAAAGATTAGAATTTCTTAATCTTCCTACTTTGGAAAACCGTCGTAAAACTTATGATCTCGTTTTAGCTCACAAAATCCTACATGGATATACACATCTTAAATCAGACAATCTCTTTAAAATATCAAATAGGAAAAAATGTTATTTATTATCTAAAAATCAAAATTCAAAGTCATCAAACTCATTTGTTAATAGGGTAACTAAGATGTGGAATGTTTTAAATGATGAAATTAGGACTACAAAAATAACCCTTAGTTTTAAAAATAAAATAAAAGCCATACTTATTCAATAGGTACAAACTGGTTATTTTATTTAGCCTTTTTCATAGGTATAATCACTCAAAATAAATTACATAAATTTAGGCCTAAGTTTAATTAATGCAAAAGAATCAGGCTTTGACTATCTATAGTTTTGGTATTAATCTAAATTCAATTTTTATATAAAAAATTAGTTAATATGACCAATAAGTTTATAAAATTTCATTTTTGCCAATCCTTTCTCATATTTATTAATTAAATTTCGGATATAAAAATTGGATCGTTTACGAGTATAAATTGGATTTTTTCTTAATTGATATATTTTTAGATCGAGTTAACCTCAGGCTATAGAGAAAAATCTTAAATGTAAAAATATATTAAAAAACATCTTTCATTTTCGAAAAAATTCAAATTATAATTGAACATATTATTTGGCATTCTATCTAAATAATTTTTTATTTAAATGACAATTTATACCAATATCTTTTTCTCTTTTTCATCAGCACTATTTTTTCATTTAATGATTCATAAAATTATTGGTAAAAATATTTTTATTTTCTCCATATTTGTTTTTAAGATTTTTATTGAAATCTAACTTTATTTTAAACTATTTTTTCATTTTTTAAGGAAATTTAAAAAAGACATTTAACTGGGTAATATTTTGACTAAAAATGTCTAAGCGCAATTCTTCTGAATTTTCTCCACTAAATTTTGCAGCAAATTTGACAAACAACGAAAAACGCAGCAAAATTGTTGAACAAATTAATTCTTTAAATTTTAGCAAAATTTTTTCAAAAATTAAATTTAAAATCTAAGTAATGCACTTTCGCAAAATAGTCGGTACCGAGTATATTTATTTAAACAAATAAACCAATCAAAATTTAATTTATGTGTTTTGTTTTATATATTATCATTGACTTTGTTGTTTTATGCTGTTTTTTATATTTATATTGCGTTTTTAAGTGCCACACTACGACATTGTTGTCGAAGTAAGTGGCACGCCCTTTCGATGACATTTTTTTTTATGTTGATAAATAAATAAATAAAAGAAAAATAACCTTAAAATTAATTAAAGGGAAAAATTTAATTAAAAATTTGCGGACAATTTTTGCGGATAGTTTCAGTGCATAGGCAGAGGTTTAAGAAACCAAGTCTTCACAGTTTTATCAAACCCCATACCTATAAAATATTTAACCAGCCCCAATACCAACAAAAAAACTCAAAATTAAATTTTAAAAAATTTGCGGACAGAATTTGCGGACAGAAAAAAATTTGCGGACAAATTTTGCGGATAGTTTCAGTGCTAGGCAGAGGTTTAAGAATAATTTACTCAAAAAATTCTGTCAAATCCCACACCTATGAAACATTTTGGTCAACCAAGGACAACAAAAAAAACTCAAAATTAATTTTAAAAAATTTGCGGACAGAAAAAAAATTTTGCGGACAGAATTTGCGGACAAATTCAACGTCCGCAAAATTCAAAAAAAATTAAAACAAATTAATATAAATATTTAACTATTTTTGTTGCCTTTAAAAACAAGAAAAATATAAAATTCAAAGCCTTTCCCCATCTTTTACACAATTTGTCTTTATTTTTACTTTTTTTGTTAAAAAAATTTCCCACGGGAATAGAAAAAAATTAATTGTAAAATGCCTTTTAAAAAATAATAAATTATTTATTTTTTCTTTTAATTTAATTTTACAATTAAAAATATGTCTAAAAAGTCTCAAAAAATTTTTTAAAAATTTTAATCAAAAATTATTTTTTTGATTAAAATTTTTGCGGACAAATTTTTGCGGACAAACTAATTTAAAATAAAATTTAATTTACTTTCCTTTAATCGATTTTTGATATTCTTCTCTAAATAATTGTCCAAATCTCTTAATTCTTTTATTATTCAAAATTTTTGATTTAGCTCCAAAGGTTGTCCGGATGAGGAAACGAGCTGCTCGGCGAATTGGCGACGAATCTGCTAACTGAACGGAAAAAAATTTTTTTTAATTTAATGGTCGTAAAATGACTTTTAAACACCCTTGAAAATGGTAAAAGTCTCCTTACAACTGTGAGGAATACGTAAAACTTGGGGGTAACGCTTGAGGGCTGCTTCCCCTCCGTACACCTACCCCCTCCCATAGACCAATCAACTCTTCAAAAAATTTTGAACGTTTAATAGAAAGTGTACGCAAATCAGTTATAAAAATAAGTTCCGACAATATTAAAAAATTTTAAAAATACCTTTTGAATAAATTGTTCACTGTGTAAAAGTTGTTGAATTATTCTGTCAAACATTATCCACAAAAATAAAATTTTAAAATAAAAATCTAAAATGAAATAGTGTGTTAAACAATAGAAAAAGAAAAAGAGAAATAAGAGAATAGAGAAAAGGAATGAAAATATTTAACATTATGACAATTTTATTTCTTTTAGACATTTTATAATTTCTCTTTATAAATCCTTCAAAACCCCAACAAAACAAATTAGTGTAAATTAGAGAAGCAGAAAAATTGACAGAGTACTGACAGTAATGTACAGCGGAATTTAGACATTTTGACATTTTTTCAACTTTTCGACATTTTTAAATTTTAAAGCCAAAAAATCATCAAAACATCAACATTAATAAAATGTAACACTTAACCAATTAATTTTTGATCTTTTTAACATCACGAGAGTTTTCACTGTAAAATTAAAAATTGTTAATTGATTAACCACTCAATACATTCTTCTTCTTTCATTTTAGATTTAATTTCTCTTTTTAAAAACCAAAAATTAAACAACAAAAAATGGAAACACAGCCCCTTTCAGATAAAGAAAAATTTCACTTAATTTCTTTAATTCGTGACAAGCCAACTATTTGGGATTCTTCACATGGATTATCTTGGAAAAATAAACATGACGAATTTAATTCACTTGTTGATGATATGTCTAAAGAATTTAAACGGGAATTTACAGGTTTTTCATAAAAATGTCTTTGTGGTTTAGTGGGAAAATTTTTAATTTTTTCCCGACCAGAGGATCAAAGTTCGGACCCCTCCTTAGAGAAAAATTTTTATTTCAGGTATTTTATCTTTATTTTCCCTTTTCAGCCCTTTTTCTGAGAAACAGGTTTTTTCATAAAAAAAATTCCTTGTGGTTTAGTGGGAAAATTTCAATTTTTATCCAAGCCAAGGGGGTTAAGGTTCGAACCCTTTCCCGAGAACATTTTTATTTCAACAATTTTATCCTTGTTTTTCATCTTTAACTCATTGTTTTTGTGGTTTAGTGGAAAAATCTTAGTTTTATCCTTTCAAAAATGGTCAAGGTTCGAACCCTCTTCTCGAAAAATATTATATTTTTATTTCAACAATTCAGCCTTATTTCCCTTTTCACCCTTTTTTCTCATCAAAATAAATTTTTTCAATTTTTCCAGTCACTTCTCTTCGAAATTCTTGGCGTATTTTAAACATTTGTTTTCGTCGAGAACGTAGGAAGTCTGACTCCAAATGGAAATTTCTTCAAGAAATGGCTTTTCTTAATAATACAAACACTCAAAAACAGAAAAGAAGTCTTGACGAAAAACCAAAAAGGAAAAAACGGGCAAAAAAAGAAGAAATGACTGAAGAAACCGAAAATAATAAAAATGAAGGATTTGACTTGATAAATTCTTTAATTGATTTAAATGAAGGAAATTTAACAACTGATGATTCTCCTTCAGATTTGACAATGCTTGATGCTGAATTTGGGAATAATGGAGGAGAAAATAATCTTATTAATAATAATGAGGATAGCGGGAATGAAGGTTTTATAATTAAATGTGTGTGTAAATTTTGAAAAAAAAATTTCGGGACAAAAAGCCCACCCACTCCTCTTTCCTTCCTCAACTCTCATATTTAGTAGTCAAACATTCTCTTTCCTTAAATTTTTCTCTGAATGTTATAGGAAAGTCAAATTGAGGATGTGAAGAAGTCTCATAATTATGGGGCGGTTGGTAAAGAAAGATGAATAAGACGGGGTAAAGGAGGGAAATTGGAAGTTATCTCGAAATCTTAGAAATGACCTAAACAATTTTAAAACCTCTCTCAAAAAATCTTTTAAAATTTTATTAAAAAGGTCTACAAATTATTGAAGACGCTGAATCTGCTGAAAATGTTATAGAAGAACAACAACCGGTTAATAATACTAATAATGATGAAAACACTAAAAATAGTAATAATGAAGATGCTAAAAGTATTGCAACTGCTATAATTCATGAGACACCAAACAAAACAATAGGTTTATAAAAAAATTTTTCTTAAATTTAAATTTTGGTTGTCCTATAGGTTGGGAAAGCTGCCTAAATCACTTCATTTTATAAGTTAGAATTTCTTTTACCTCCAAGGAGGGCGAATATGGGGCTACTGGAATTGAAAATTTGGTTGGCCACTGGATGTGGGGGATTTTAAGATTTTACTTTAAGGAAATTTCTCTAAAAATTAAAAACCCTCATAAAATCTTTTTACAGACACAGCAAAAACGTTTACTGCTATTAATGATACCACTACTACCACCACCATTTTGGAAGACACAACTGAAGATGATTCTCTTTTATTAGGAAAAATGGTTGTTTGTACTCATCGAATTTTAAAATCTGAAGGAATGGATTGTGAAGCTATTGGTTTGGAAAAAAGTGTTTGTAAGTTTTTTTTAATTTTTAAAACCTTTAAAAACCCCTCCAATTTCTAGACGATTTATTAATAAATTATAAACAAATGAGGGCAGAATATGCCAAGAAAATTAAAGGAGAGAAGTGAAATAATTGAATAATAATTAGAAGAGAAAGAGATTTAGGTATTTTTTGTTATAAATATTTTGCTCAGAAAACGTTAGAGGACGGGTTTTTGTTTAAAAAATTTTTTGAAATTTTTTTTTGAAAATTTTCTCCCAAAATTCAATATTAACAAAAAACTCGCTCTTTAACAGAAAACTCGCCGCTCTTGCCCAAACCCTTAAAAAACACTCATTTAAATTAGCTTAACGTCTAGTTTTATTTACTTGTATTAAAATATAATCTGGTACCTCGATTTTCACCAAAAATTTTTTTGATAATTTTTCAACACATAAAAATCGAGGTCCCGGTTGTTATAATTTATTGTTAGTTTAACTTGCCTAGTTTATTGCCTACTTGTGTAATTCTAAAAAATAAAAACATTCCCCCTTTTAATCAGCACAAAGGTTGACGGATCCTGGGAAATCTCTGAACATCAGGATTTGATCCGAAAATTTTCGTTTTTATTTGAATCGGGATCCGTCGACCTTAAATCCTCTCCCCCTTCCTCCTAATATCTCCTAATAATTTATTTTAATTTTCTCTCTTACCTTATATACTTATATGTTATATTTAGATCTCCCCATATCAAACATTTTTTTTCTCTCTCATTGCCAGTTAAATAAATTTATTTAATTTAAAAATTAAAAAAAAAATAAATTAAATTATTTAAAAATTATCAATTTTCCATTTCTCCAAATAAATCAAAACCTGTTCCATTCCACCAATCACAATTATTTCCAAAGTGATGAAGTATATACCCAAGTTCATGAAAAAAGTCTCTATCACTATATTCTTTATTTACAACAACAGCCATAGAAATTCCATTATCTAAACGAACAAGCATTGAAGCTGAACCGGGCATTCTTCCATCATGTTGCCAACCATTAAAACCCATAATATTTAGAGACCAGCCGAGGCCATAACTTAAAATATTAAAAAAAATTTTACTTTTAAAATTTTTTAATATTGGTTCTTCCATTTTTGGGAATCAAATTTAGCAAAAAAAGGTAGAAAAATAAGCGGGGGGTCGAACCGACAACTTTGCAATTACCAAACCCTGACACAACCAACTACACCACAACCCAACTTAATTAAAGCAACTTATTTAAAAACTATAAGCATTCCGGATTCATCAATAATTTTCCGTGAGAGAAACCGAAATTCAAAAAAAAATTCCCAAAAATTTTAAAATTAAAAAAACAAACGTTTCATTAGAAGCAATTGTTGGAGTAGCCCATTCTTTTATTGCCCAATCACTTAAAATGTCTTCCTGCCTTTTAAATCCATCCAAAAAAATTAATAAACGAAGAAGTTCAATTGGTGAAGCAATCCAACCACCCCACGGGCCTAAAAAAACTTTTTTTAAATTCTTAAAAAATTATAATACCAATCCTCTCAGCAGGCAAAAGATCATAAGGGTTAAATCCAAGTCTGTTACCACCAGCCATATACTAAAAATATTTTTGAATTTATTTTCAGAAATAAACCAATGGCATAAAAACATACGTAGAGAACTTCACGTCTATAAAAAATAATTAAAAACAATTAGGTATTCAAAAAAAAACAAATAATTTTGGTTCTTCTTCTTTCTCTCCCAGTCGGATTATTTTCTATTTTCCTTAAAAGGTACATAATGGTCAGACTTTTTCTCACCTAAATGAACAGGCTGTGGTTTGAGTCACCAGCTCCAACAATTAGGACCTATACTAAAACGTTGTTCAAAAAAAACAAATAATCAACCAGCTTAAATTCAAACCCAGAAGACGGGCCCTGTCCCTTTTCCCGGTATTTTTGGAAATAACGGGAATCCCTGTTTAAACAGCATAACTAATAGCTTTGAATATTTCTCTAAAAGTAAAAACAACTCCCCCTCCCAACAAAAGAAATTTTCCCACAAAAAAATTAAACAAAACCTCGATTTTTCAGAAAGTGTAGGCCTCGCCACTTGAATATCATTTATTCCCACTTGTTCCCAAAAATATTTTTTGACAAATTGTTCATATCCAAATCCATCAATATTAACTCTTTCAATAATATATCCAAGCAATTGATACCCAAAATTCGAATATATCCAAGTCTTTCCAGGTTGAGCAATTAATGGCTGTTCAATCAAAACTTTTTCTATTAAAGTTGCGGTGTTTTGTGTTGGTAAAAGCCATGCTGGGTCTGAATCTATATTGTTCCAGCCACCTTAAAAAATTCTTTTTTTAGAAATTTAGGATGAAATTTAGTGTTAAAATGTCATTTAGTGTTAAAATGTCAAAAAATTCATGTCAAAAAATCAAAAAAAATTTTGGGGTCAAAATGTCGAAAAAAAAATAATTTTCAAAAAATACCTGCAGTATGTTCAAGTAAATGACGAACGGTAATTTCTGTCACCCATTTTTCATAAGGCTTTTTACGAGCAAATTCATAACCTTAAAATAAATTAATTAGAATAATTTAAAAAATTTTATTTTAAAAAGAAAACCAAAAATTGAATTTCCTGGGCCAAAAACGTGTTGATCCAATTCTAATCGGCCTTGATCAATTACTTAAAAGATTTTTTATTTCAAAAATAAAATTAATTTTTACACAAAAGAACGGCAGCAGCAGTTATTGGTTTCGAAACAGATCCAATTCTAAATTGACTGTCTGGAGTGACCAAATGACCTCTCCGAATATTGCTATAGCCAAAACCTTGAAAATAAATTTTAATTTTTAACAATTTTTGTAATTAAACCTGCTGCGTATTTAAGTTTTTCATCTTTTGAAACAGCCACAGACAAACATAAAAAAATAAAAATTCTTTTCAAAAAATTAAAAAAAGAATACCAGGAATGTCAAGTTCACGCATAAACCGTTCAACACGTTTAGCAACAAAATTTAATTTTTCAGGTTGTAATTGAGATTCCACTCCGTTCAGATAAGTAGAGGGGATTCTAAATTTAAAATTTTTTTAATTTTATAAATTTTCAAAAAAAATTTGAAAAAAACTTTCAAAATGTCAAAAACCCAAAACGCCCAAAATTCGAAAATTTAAATTAAACCTCCTTCCCATCGGCCAAAGTTCTGGTTCTCTCGAGAATCTCAAGTAATTAACATCACTCCATAGCACAACAAACCTCAAACTTTCACCATCCCCATCAAAAAAATGAGATATTTGACGAGGTAGAATAGAAGAAGAAATTAATTTTGAATTTTCTCGTTTGACTATTTTGCTTAAATTTTAGAAAAAAATATTTTTATTTTAAATTTAAAAAAACAAAATAAACCTTTTAAAAATATTCCGAGAAAATTTTTGATGCATTTGTTTTAAATTTAGACCAATTTCTATCCAATGACGATGGCCTGGTAAATATTCCCAAATTGCACAGCAGAGAATCTGTGTTAATTTAAAAAATGAATTTAAAAAATAAAAAAAACAGAACACCCTACAACACCCTTAGCAATCGTTAAAAAACATTTTTTGTTTAAAAAATTAAGAAAAGAATTAATTCACCTACAAAGGATTCGAACCTTCAACCCCAAGAAAATACCTATTCCCGCAGTCAGAATCCTTAACCACTCGACCAAAACAACAACTACTCAAACCTCAAATAAAATACCCAAATCTTTCTAATAAAAGGCTAACAACATTTCCGGAAATAATTCTTCCGGAAAATCTTTTATTAATTAAATTCAATTTTTACCTCATCCAAGCTGCGAAACACTCTGAATTGTACAGCCACATATTGCCTTTAAAAAATTAAAAAAATTTTCATTTAAAAAAATTAACAAAACCTGCTGCTCAATTTATCATTAATTTCCAAACATTCACTCAATGTCAAGCCATAATGTGCTTCGTATGGATTTAAGGAGGACACATTTTTTGCTGTTGATTTTTGCCATATACCCACATAACGAGCTGTCCTCTTTAAATTAAAAAAATATTTTTTTATTCGAATTTAATTTTTACATTTTTTATGTTATATCCACAAAGGCTAATCAATCTAAATCCTTCTTTTTCGAAAATAAATTTTTGTTGATCAGATTCAGGCGAACCGGGAAACCAAATCTGTAAAAATAAAAAAATTTTTCAAGTCGATTCGCTGTCAAATTTAACAAAATTTTAGCTAATAGGTGTAGGCAGGATTAAAAAAGAAGATTAAGCCCTTCTCCGAAGTTAGTCAAGGCCAAAAAAATTTTGAAAAATTTCAAATTTTTTAAATATTTTGAATTTTTGTAATCCATCAAATAATAACATCGATCTCTTTAAGATGAAAACAAGTGGAAATCATGAGGAAAAAAGAAAACAGAAAAAGAAAGGAAAACACTCCCTCAAATACATGAGGAGAAAGACGATTAAATGAAAAATTTGGGGCAGCCATTCTTTTTAATAAAAACCTCAAAATGGGTTTCCCATCCAATGAGTTCCCTCTCAAAAATAAATTCCTTCGGTTACCCTACAAAATAAAAAAAAATTAAAAAATACCCTCGTAGTAACACCAGGCAATCTTTCCCAATAAGTACTGAAATATACTTTTCCATCCCCATCATCGTCTTGTCCACATAGTTGAGTTAATGCCAAATCGACTTCTTCGTTTTCTCTTAAAAAATAAATTTTTTTTCTCAATTTTAATTCAAAAATTTTTTAATTCAAAAAATTTACTGTGCTTCTTTTAATAGTTCAGAATAAGTCATCGGTTCAGGCTTCAGAAATACAGGACCATTAAATTTGTGCATTATTGCATAATAGTTTAGACGACCAAGAGTATCCCAAAAATGTCCCATTGAGACTAGCCGACCTAAAAATTGAAAAAAATTAATTTAAAAGATGAGCAAAAAATTTCTTTAGAAAATTCAAGACAAAGTTAATCCTCAATAATGATCACTCCACATAAAGATACAAAACTCTCCATTTAAGATACGATTTTTTAAATTAAAGGGGGAGATGTTTAAAGGATAGGGGAGCTGTAAAAATTCTTTTGGTTGGTCTCAGCTGAAAGAGAGCTTAAGCTGTCTCTTTAAAAAGCAACAACTCATTACAGGAACAGACTTTTTCCACCCTATGGAGTGAACGAAAAATTTTTGACTACTCATTTTCCACCTCATAGGTGGTCAAAAATTAACTATGTCTTGGCTTTTCAAAAAATTTAAATTTCAAAAATTAACCTCCATACGACAAAGAACAAACCAGCACCCCATCAATTACATGCTCAACTCCAGTCATCATAACCCAATCCCTTTCTTTTGGAGAATGTGGATGCACAATCTAAATTTAAAAAATTTTTTTCTAATCAAAAATTTTTAAACCTGTGTCCAAAATACATTTTTATTCTTCATTATTCTCGCCTTTTTGCTTTCGTCTCCTTCCTCTCCATAAATCCCTCCATTTTTTATTTGACATTTTGGCGTTTCTTTCGATTTATTTTCCAACGTTTTCAAGTCCATTGCTCTTCTAATTTTCCTCTTTTTATTTTTGAAATTAATTTTTTCTTCATTATTCTTGATTTTTGTTGCTTCCCCATGTAGAAAAGAATTGCTAAAAAATTTTGAAGGAATAAAATCATAAGAAATAAATTTTTTTAAATTATAAATATTTTTAAATTTTTCATCATTCAAAGCTTTACATAAGCTTATATTTTTATTTTCATGAGAAAAAGAATTTTTGAAAAAACAAATTAAAATAAATAATATAGGATTTGTGTGAAAAATCATTAAAAAAATTTTTTTCAAGTCAATATTACACAACAAATCCCATTATTCTAATATACAAAAACATGTCAAAAAAGGTCAAGATTTACTTAAAACCTTCGCAAAAATACTTGAAAAAGGAATTTTAAAAAAAAGAGAGAAAAATATACAATCAATTTCCCCCATTAAAGAGAAGATTTTTTGAAAAACAACAAATAGAGTAGAAAGCAAAAGCAAATTCAAAACAAAATGCTCCCACTCAAAATAATGAATATGCTTAAAAAAGGATAACAATAAATTTTGAAAGAGGAAACAAAATTTTTTTGTTTTGAAACAAAATTTTTATGAAAATTAAACTTGAAAAACAATCACTTCTTTGGAGTAACAGTCTCTTGAGTTTTAACAATCTGTGGAGTATCAGCAGCTTGGTAATAGAAACGATATGGACCATCACCAAAAACACAAATATCTTCATTAATAACATTTATATAAACTTTTTGAGCAAACTCTCTGTACAATTCATCCCCTGATGGAAAATAATATTTAAAATCAGCAAAAAGAGCATTTTCGTTGATTGCCTTCATGTAGTTAATAAATTTGCGTGAATCTTTTATATACTCTTCAACCTCTTCTATTTCGTACTTCCCAGAATAGAAAATGCGATGTGTGCTGAAAAGTTATAAGATCAATTTTGATCCTTTCATGAGGACGGACCTAATTAGAAGGCAATAAACCCACTCAAATTATCAGTTGTATAATTAAATATAAAAGTTACCCGGTTTTATTACTAATATACTAATAAGTTAAAAACTCTAATAAGGTATACTAATAAGTTAAAATTCTTAACCAATATAATAAAATATAACAAAAAATACTTGTGAATGTCCTTTACAAAAAGTCTGAGAAAATCACGAGCCGATGGCTTCTTATGAAATCTAACGGTGTATTTTGCTAATTCTCCCAAAGCTCGGTGACCTCTAATATTTATATTCCACTTCATAAAAAATCTAGCCATGACGAGGGCAAAAGAAGCCCAAATCTAAAATAAAACAAAAAATGTACTTTAAAAGAATTAAAACAAAACTAATTCACAAGCAAAAATGCCATCACCCTCATCAGCTAAAATTTTTTCCGCCTTATCCAAAAGTTCTCTTGGGTCTTTGTATATCTTCTTTTGAACTTTGCGTTTCTTTTTTCCAGCTGAATGACATAACTCAATATTTAATTCATAAATTCTTTCATAAAATTTTTCAGCATCTAAATCCATCATTTCTTTTATATTTACAACTGTATTATGAGGAATTTCCAACAAAAACTGTCAAGTAAAAAATTTAAATGAATAAATAAAAATCAAATTGATACATGAAATTTTTCAAGTTTTTCGAATTTATTTTTCACAGTCTTCAATTCAGCTTTTGTAACGGCAATCTCATCCTAAATTTAACTGAATTTAATCAAAAATTGTTAGTAAATCTCCTTAGAAAAGGATAGACTCAATATAAAACAACATAAAATAAACCTTTAATTTTTTATTCTTTTCAAAACATCCATCTAGTTCCTTCACCAATGCTTTAAAATCCTTATCTTTTTGAAGAATGGTATTCTCAAACTCCTCTTTCTGTTCTTTAAACATCTTATTTCGTTTCGATACTTTTAAATAACCCTTTTTAAATATACAAGGGACTCCGGATTCTTCTTCTCCAGCACAACGTTTAGTTTCAGGCTAAAAATAAGTTCAAATATAACACAAAAATAGAATATTAAACAGAAACCTCACTAATAGTACCAGAACCAGCGCTACTTCCAAGTTCGGAAGATTTATTTCCTTCAGGAGTAGGAGACATTTTTTTTTCATTTTCTTTTTTGTTCTATAAATAAAATGAAATTAAATTAAGAATTTGTTTTTTCCTTTAAAATTGTAAATTACCTTTCCATTCCGCTTTCGTTTACTGCTCGTTTTTACAGCTTCAGAATTAGATCGAATAGAAGAAGACTAAAAATGAGTTAAGAGATAACATAAAAAGCAAAACCTCTTCTAAAATAATTCCTAAACCACTGCCAGCAACAAAAGAATTTTCAGAAAGAATAGCCTCATCACCACCGCCAGACACAACAGATAAAAAATTTTTCACACGCAACTAAAAATAAAAAGAAACAAAAAAGTTAGACAAAACCTTGCTGGGGTTTAAGGCTTTAATTTCAGGAGACTGTTCCAAATTGGAAGGCACTTCTTTTGGTTTCACATTTTCTTTTCCCTTTAGCTAAAAGAAAATAGTTAAGATTCAGAAACCTTATGTGCTTTTCTTAATTACCACTTTTTTTGTTTCTTCATTTTGTTTTGAACTACTAGAGGATTTTCCAGCTTCTTCAAAACGTTTTTGTCCATTATTTCTACCACCACTTTTTGGTCCAGAATTTGCTCCTCCAAGTTGACTGCCGTTTTTGTTTTTATCTTTTCCCTGTGGTGGCATTTTAAATGTTCAGCAATCCTTTGATGAAAAAACGCTGAAAAGTACAAATAAAAATGATCAAATAGAAATTTGATGGTAAACAAAAGCTTAAAATTGTCAGGGAAACCGGCAAGGAGGGAGAGCATCAGCCAAAGTAATAGCGAAATTTATTACAAATAAACCTCAAAGCGATAAAAAGCAGAAATCAATAAGGAAACCCAAAGAAAAAAATTTGCGGACAAAACTTGCGGACACCCCCAAAATGACAAAAAACCTTCATTTGCAATAAAAATAGTAAATAAAAAAATACTCTATCTCATAGAGTAATGGATTTTAAAAATCCAATTTTAACAATTAAAACAAAAAAATTTTTTAACATTTTTAACACAAAAAGAAAATAGTTCAACAACAACTTTTATTTAAAAATAACCGAAAATTTTTCTCTTAAAATTTCCATCTTTTCAATTTTTATTCTTCAATAGTCTCTTCTGTATGTTTCCCTTTCAAAACACCAGTAACACGTTCACGTCCTGCAGCTTTACGTTCAAGCAATGCACGACGATCTTTGTCCATTTTAAGTTTTGTAAGAACAACTTTGGATGGATGAATACCAACATGGACAGTTGTTCCATTAGCCTTTTCACGAGTAATTTTGTCAATGTGGACGACGTATTTGCTTCTAAAAAAGAAAAAAGTTAAAAAAGAAAATTTAAATTTAGCGGGCAGGGCTAAAAAGACACAGGGGATAAAAATCAGAAACCTGTAGACACGCATAACACGTCCACTGTTTCCCTTAAAATGTCCACGCAACACAGTCACTTCGTCTTCAATTCTTAAAAAAAGTAAAGTAAAAAATGTGATTTGTAAAATGCAAGCAAACCCCACAAGGAAAAAGAAAAGGCTTGTTAATAACTGACAAAGGAAACAAGTTCAGAATTTCTTAAATAAGAATAAGAGAACGGGTTTGGGTACTTTTGTCAGGCATGGGTTCTTCAATGCGGAGCTGTAAACTTATCTGCCAGAGTAAGGCTCCGACCATTATGTACACTTTAAACCAAATATTAGTGGACGGGATTCGCAATAAAAACACAACTTTGTGCATCCACTAGTGATCGAGATTTTTTAAAACCCTGGGCCTGCTCCCAGGTTTGACTTATTGACATGGGTCAGATCCTGGGCCTATAGTCCAGGAAAAACCGAGGCCTTGGTCCAGACCAGGTCACTAGCGTCCACTCACTTATGCGAACCTATCACCCAAAACCCAACAACCAGACCCACAGGGCATCCGTTCTAATCAAAGGCTCGAAATAAAAATAAAAAAAAACCTTATTGGCATTGAGCGAACATTATGTTTATTACGCAAATCCTTAGACAGCGGTGCAGACATTATTTGACGTCGAATGTGTGACGGAGCATTAAAATGACGCTTACGAGACTTTCGACGAGAAGAAGAAACAAATGGGTTGAATTTCATTTTAAACAAATAAAAGAGCTGGAACTTTAATTATCTGAAAAAACATTAAAAAATGTATTAAAAATAGGCCATAAACTTGTTTGAGATTTCAGAAAAAAAAAAGAAAAAAAAGTAAGACAAATTAATGGCAATTAACGAAAAAAGAAAACGAAAAATACAAAATGAAATTTTCAAAAGCGTTGTAAAACGGTTTACCAATATCAGAACGTCTAAAATTCGTTTGGGTCAGTAACTAAAATACGACAATTTGACTAATTTCTTAGGGCCGCAAATAACTCAAAGTTTTGTCTTTCCCTTTTTAGTACCCTTGGGTCAAAATAATTCTACATATTTGAGTCAAACAATAAATGGCTTCAGAGAAATTCCTAAAACTTTACTAACTAGCGAACATCGGATACTGTGGGCAATAATTCGGTATTTTTTGGCCCTACAATATGCTACTACGCTCCTTTATAAAAACAAAGTTAAACCCTATTTTTCGTCATAAAAAAAGGTTTGACTCATAAATAAAAAATAAACATATAAAATAGTAATAAAAATCTTCTTTCAATCATCTCTTGTCAATTTTCTTTGTCTTCAAAAAAATTCTCTAATTAAAAATCCATAAACTGAATTTGTTATACCCCATGTTAAAACCGATCTTGAAAAATTTAATTGAGCACCACGATACAAAGCACGTATTGATCCATCTCTTTCAGTCATTATTGTTTTTAGAACAAGCCAGGAAGAAATAAATTCTGCACAAACACTTGACTGAAAAAAATTTGGGGGAAAATGTAATAAGGAATTGGGAGAATATTTCCGGGGGAGGATGTTAAAGGGAAGAAAAAGGAAAAATCGAGGATGAAGAAGAAAGAAGGATGTAGAGAAGAGAAAGAAAGGAGGAAAAAGGAATGAAGAAGAAAGAAGGATGTAGAGAAGAGAAAGAAAGGAGGAAAAAGGAAGGAAAAGGAGGAAAGTGGAAGAAAACCGAAGGATCTAGAAAGAAAGGAGGAAGGAAGGGGGAATCCGAAAAATGGACGTATGAAGGAAGGAAGAATGAAAGGAATAATGAAGGAGTAAGAAGAAAGAAGGAAGAAAAATGAAAAAAGAAGGATGTAAAGAAGAGAAAGAAAGGAGGAAGATGGAAGGAAAAAGAAGAAAAGAGGAAGAACCGAAAGAAGTAAGAAATTTGGAAGAAAGGAGAAAGAAGAAGGAAAATGAAGAAGAAACTGAATCTGAAGGAAGAACCCGGAAAATGAAGGAAGAACCCGAATCTTACGAGCTATAGCCTGTTGAAATGCAAGTCTCCTAGAAACTGGGAACATACCGAACGGAATCAAAAAAATCCGGCTGGACCGAACCCAAACAATCTCAAGGAATTAAAAAATACCCTTGGAAAATCAAAAATTCCCTACAGATCCCCCCAGGTAAATTTTTTATAAGCCTATCCCCCCTATTTTATAAAAATTTAAAAAAAACCTGCATTCTATTCTTCACAACATTGATTGGATAAAATAAAGTTGAGATACATCCACCAAGAAAACCTCCACAAACAAAGTCTGCTAGTGAATGAATTAATCCTTTACGAGTATTGTTATTGCTATCAACTTGTTGTGGAGTTAATTTTAATAGAGGAGAACGTAAAGGTTCGCGTAGTGAGAAGAATAAAATATTACTACACCTAAAAGAAAAATAAAAAATGTCTGTTCCGGAATTGTCTCTCTCTTATGAATGCCTATTGTTGTGTACTCTCTCACTTTTTGTCTAACCAAATTAAAAATAAAATAAAAACTGTCTGTTCCGGAATTGTCTCTCTATACACACCAGCAATTTTGTGTACTATTTCGCTTTTTGTCTAACCAAAATTCCGAAAGATTATAACTACAAAGGAGAGAGTTGTTTCTTTTGTGCTTATCCAAAAATCTCTTCAAATTTAATTCGGATTTTTAAACAAAAAATTTAAGGGGATATAACAGGGATGTCACGGATTGAGAAAGTCTGGTTGAGGTTTCCAAAATTTAGTTCGGATCAGGTTCTGTGTTAAAAAAAATTCTGGCTTTAAGGGAGTCGGGTCTCGAATATATGACCCGTGAGAGAAAAAAGTGTGAACAGACATACTCAAACCAAACATTAAAATTAAAAAAAAATTAACCCGTTTCTAATAGCCATTAATGAATATCCTCGATAAAATCTAAATTTTAAAAAATTAATTTTTAATTAAAAAATAAAAAAAACAAAACTCTTTAATTGAATAATCTCTATAAATTAAACGAAATGTATGTCCAGTATTTTTAAATTTGTCCAAATGTTTGGTTGTCTGTAAAAGGGATTGCACTCTTTCTAATGGACATAAACATGCTTCGGTTGCGCCAGCTTTTTAAATTGAAAAAAATTTTTTAAGCTAAAAATTTAAAGAAAATAAACCTAAAAAAGAGCAAAATGCACGACAAATGCTCGGATCCCTTTCAGAGCAGCCAAATAATCGTTGATACTTTTCGTTTGTTCCAAACCTTTAAAGAGGAAAATTTTTCATTCAAAAGCTTTCAAAAAATCATTTAAAAAATATAGGTTCACCACCGGCAAATCTTTGCCTTTGGCAGATCAAATAGAGAAGAATAAGAATATTGAGTTGATACAGGCAAAGATTAACCGGTGAGAACAACCCTTATAAAGAAAAAATAAGAAGAATGAACCACGAACCCATTTTAGCGCTGAATCATGACCTTGTCAACCTCCACTATTTTCAATGAAATTGAACAAGGTTATGGCTCGACAACTAACATCATCGAACATTTGCTATGGGGTGAAGTTATACTCGAAAAGGGATAATTTGGAAAATATGCCGCTGTTTTACTTAAGACCTCATAATTACGTACACCTATAAGACAAGAAACCCAAGTCACCAAAATCCAGAAGTCAGAGGCAAAAATGATCCAATACCTAATCTAATTAAGAGAAAGCCCGAGAAACACCAGCTCGAAGACATAAAAGATTTTTCACCTTTATAAGAAATAAAAACTAACATTATTGAACGATTTGCAGTCCTTTGAATCAACGGAGGCAGAAGGCCACGAAACATAAAAAAATCAAAAAAATTGTTTTACATCAAAAAATAAGTGAGAAGTTACAAGTTTCTGGCTCCTTCACGTTTTAACTTAAAAGAAAAAATTTTTTAAAAATTTTAAAATTAAAAAAACTTGTTTAGCAGCATCAACAAGCGATATATTGTGCAATTGTTGTCGAAATATAATTTTTGTTTTGGGGAACAAAATAAATGTTTCAATACATCCAGCACTTGCCCCACAAAAAAATTCTTTGTAGCGCTCAATTAAAGTTGTCATATTTAAAAAAAAATTTTTTTAATAAAAAACGCTAAAACAAAGTATTAAAAAATATCAAGCCAATTTCACTTGCTTAAAGAAAATTTTTTCCAATAAAATATCAAATATTTATGAAGAAATTTATAAAAATAGTATAGGACAATATATTGGCAAATTAGTTTAAACTAAATTAAAAAATTTCGATATTTATTTTTATTTATAGTCAGGGGTGTGCCATTTTAGTTTTTCACTTTTTTGGGTATTTCGCCTTTCGTATGTCGATTTTTTAGTGTTTCGCTTTTTAGTCCTACGATTATTTTGTATCGCTTATAGGGTTGCATCGAATTTCGGCCCGAAAACTACTCGACCGGTCCGGCCCTAAAAAAGAGGCCCGAAAAAATGACTCAACGGCCCGGTTCGAAAACGACAACCCTAATCGCTTATCATATTTCCCCTTTTTGGTTTTTCGATTTTGTGGAGTTTCACTTTTGTGATGCTCCGTTTTCGAGTTTCGCTATTTTCGTGTTTCGCTTTTTGTATTTTCTATTTTTCGCTTTTCGTCCTTCAAACTAATTTTTATTTTTCAATGTATAAAATCAAAAATTTGGCACACCCTCTTGTTATAGTACATCAGGGATAAGACGGGTTACCGGAAATACAGACATTTCCCAACTCGAAACCTGTTTCACAAAAATATTTTGAAAATCCCAACCGGACACCTAACCTTAAGCCCAAATTTTTTCTAACAACCCGTCACATCCCCTTTATCCTCTACAAACACAAAAAAAACAACTTCGCTTCCTTCACATTTTCTCAAATTGAAGCACTTCCTGTTTGAGCAACACGTTGAAGCAATTCACGAGAAACTACAAGTCTTTGTATTTGAGACGTCCCCTCATATATCTGATATATTTTAGCATCACTCATTAATTTTTCTACAGGATATTCTGTATTGTAGCCATTACCTCCAAATATCTTTTTTAAAAAAGAAAAAAATTTTTCCTTCTAAAAACAAAAAAACCTGTACAGCATTTATTGCTCCTTGCATAGCTGTATCAGCAGCAAAACATTTGGCTATTGAAGCATAATATGATGAACGGACACCGTTGTCAACGTCTAAGGCGCTCTAACAAAAATTGTTATTTTTAAGAAAAAAATTTTTTTACTCGATAAGTAACAAGTCTAGCCATTTCCAAATTAATTGCCATATCAGCAAGCATAAAACTAACGCCTTGATGCTTTAAAAAAGAAAATTTTTTAAAATATATTTTGGGATGATGTAATATTAAACGCCGAAATACCAAACAAATTGTAAGGAAAAAAGCATACAAAGCAGAGGTGTGCCGAAAAATTCTAAAAATCTAAAGGTGAAAAAACAAAAAAGCGAAAACATTTCTCTGTAGGTTTGGGTTTGGTTATTTTTGCCTCTGACACAATTTAGGGGTACACCTCGATGTACCGCGAGCCCAATGTACCGCGGATCTATAACTTTGTTTGAAATGGTCTAATCCGTGGCGCCCTGGTATGGTTCGATGCGGCTCAATATGCTGAACCGAACCATACCAGGGTGCACGGATTCGACAATTTTGAAGCTGGCGGTACATTGGGCTTGCGGTACACTGGCCTGCTCCCACAATTTTGGTATTTCGTCGTTTGACCACTATTCTAACAAATTTGCTTACATTAGCAATTGGCACAGAAAAAGTTTTTCTTTCCAACGCATATTTGGATGCCTCATCCAATGCACGCCAAGCTAAACCAACAGCTCCTGCAGCAACACCAGGACGCGTTGCTTAAATTTTTAACATTAAATAATTTAAAAAAAAATTAAAAATACTATCAAATGCTCCCATTGCCACTTTAAATCCACCACCAGGCGCCCCCAAAACATTTTCTTTTGGAACTTGAACATCTTCAAAGGTTATAGTTCTCGTGTCAGAACAACGCTGGCCAACATTCAATTCCTTTTTTCCACGAGAAATTCCTTTGGAATCACCGTCAACAATAAATGCCGTAAAAGCCTTTCCTGCTGCCGCCTTAAAGACAAAAATTTCAAGAACGAAAAAAATCCAGAAACCTTTGGATCAGGATCACTTCGAGCCAAAACAAAAAACCATTTTGCATACCCTCCACCAGTAATCCAAGCCTTTGAACCATTAATTACCCAATTGTCACCTTAAAAAATTTGAAATAAAAATTTCAAAAATTAACCTTTCAATACACAGGTTGTTTTAACACCGCTAACATCTGAACCGGCACCGGGTTCTGTGACGCAATAAGACTAAAAATTAAATTTTTTGACGGAAAATGTTGGCAAAAAATAAACAAATAAACTCGTTAACTTCCAGAAATTTTATTATTTTTTCTCCCAGCTTATTGTAAATACATGGGCTAGGTGGTAAAATCCTTTTTTAGTGGGGTAATTTCCAGAGATGAGACCGGAATGGAAGAGTCGCAAAGAGAATCGTACAATACTCATACGAGATATCATGAAAAAGCACAGACCAGGACGCGTTGTTTATTCGAGATTACGTTCCGGACCGGTCTCTAATTTGTCTTTAGATTATCTGTTTATGTTAAGAGAGGTCCGGGTTCGTGTCTCATAAACGATATTTTTACTAGTCTCAAAATAATCTTCAAATGGAAGAGTTATTCATTATAAAATTAAGACGGAAATTGATGATTTTCAGTCATCTTTTATTCAAAACTACTTGAAAACTCCGTCAAAAACTAACCGCAATCAAAGGTTCTTCGGCCAACATTCCAGCATATTTTTTCTTTTGTTCCTCAGTCCCAGCCAACAAAAGCGGAGCTAATGCCAAGGATGGACCCATTATTGCTAATTGAATTGCAGAACATCCATAAGCTAATGCTTCTATAATCAATGCTGTTTCCAAATTTCCACAACCCGGGCCACCTAAAAAATTTTGGGTATTAGTTGATGGGAAGTAGTTTAAAAAACCGGAAAACGAGGCCTGCTAGCTTCTAGTTATCGAGCTGTGTCTGGGACCAAGGCCTGGGGGTTTTCTGTACCCAGAGCTTAGGCCCAGGAATTTTTTGGCCTTTCTGGGGTTTTCCTGGACTACAGGCCCTGGATCCGGGCCTACAGCCCAGGATCATGCCCAGGTCAATAAATCAAACACAGAGTCCAAGAACAGCAGGTCCAGGTTTTTCAAAAATCTCCATGTCTACTAGCTACCGTTACCTACATTTAATCCCGATTTAACGAAACTTGTCTACTAAATAAAAAACCGTATTTCTCTGGAATCATAGTATTCATTAGACCAAGGGAATGTGCTTGTTTTATAATCTCCCAAGGAAATTCCATTGTTTTATCGTGCTCTGCTGCTTTTGGTAAAATAACTTCTTTAGCAAATTTCAATGCATTTTGTTGTATTTCTCGTTGCCTAAAAACCAAGAAAATTTTAAAAATTAAAAAAAATTTACTGATCAGACAAATCAAAGCTCATTGAACGTCTCGTTAAGGCGCAAATCAATTTATTTTGAAGTAGCCGTCGATGAAAAATAATTGACATTCTGTCCAGATAATGAATAAAAAATAAATTTATATCGAGTCCTATAACCCTAAAAAAATAAAATTAGTAGCAAAAAATACAACCAAAAGGACAGAGCCTGGACCGGGAAACAGAAAATAAAAATTGGTCAGCCCGAGAAAGAAACTAATAAAAAGTAGTGAACGACATATCGACTTTTTCTTAAGGAAAAAAAGTCGTTTTAAAAAAATCTACAATTATTCGCGAACGACTTTTTTTTAAACACACAATGCCAGAACTACGTAAATATCGATGTTTTGCGCCAAACGATTGCGAATCGACTTTTTTGTGTCTCTTTTTCTCTAATTTCACGTTATATTTCCTTTCTCTTTTTCTATTAATTTTCGTTCGTGTAGTCTCTCCTTTGGAATTTGCAATTTTCCATTTTTATAAATGTTCAGTCCCTTTTCTGTAATTTTTAGGGATTTTTCCACATATTTATATTCTTACTATATGGAGAGGAGAAGTAAGAGGAGATGATGCCAAAAGTGGATTGAAAGCCTTTAACAGGAAGATGAGTGAAATTTTCATTGAAAATCCGGAAAGTCTTTCCATCATCAGATGTGCTGCTTACCTTGATCCTGCCGTTTGTTTCCCCACCTCCCCTAAAACAGATCTCAAATTAAAAATCAAGACAAACTTTTTTGTGAAATTAATTTATGTATCCGTGATTCAAAAACAAAGTAAATAATTATAAGGACGACAAAACAAAATAAATTTAAAGAAAAACAAAGTCAACGAGGAGATCAATCCATCAAAACCTTTTACATTAATTTAATCAACTTCCTCCATACGCGAAGCGTCCTCCTCTGCACCGGCAATCTTTTCGACAGGTTCCCCAGAAGTGCAGGGTTGTGGATCTTCAAGAGAGAAGCCAGAAGTCAACAAAGTCATCTTGGTCGGAGTCATCTTGGCCAAAATATCCTAACACTAAAAATAAAACAAATATTCCAAAATTCTTTAAACAAAATCTTAAATACCTTAATAACTTTGCAAAGTTTCTCAAATTTAACTTTATCTTCTTCAAACTTCTTTTCCTCTTCACTTTCTGGCAACTCCAAACCTTCTTTAGTCACGCTAACCAACTTCTTTCCATCAAATTCTTTCAATTGTTGAATGCAATATTCATCAATTGGATCAACCATATAAATAACTTCAAAACCTCGCTTCTTAACACGTTCAACAAAAGCTGAGTTTTGAACAACTTCTTTAGACTCGCCAGTAATATAATAAATGCAAGTCTGATTCTCCTTCATTCGTCCAACATAATCCTTCAAGCTAACAAGTTCATCGCCAGAAGAGGAAGTGTTGTAACGGAGATATTCGGCAAGCTTTTTACGGTTGACAGAATCTTCGTGAATACCCAACTAAAGAACAAATAATTTTCAAAAAAACATTTAAAAAACCTTAAGATTCTTGCTGAATTGTTCATAAAATTTCTTAAAGTTGTCCTTGTCTTCAGCAATTTCATCAAAAAGTTCGATACACTTCTTGACCAAATTCTTTCGGATCACTTTAAGAATTTTGGATTGTTGGAGCATTTCACGAGAAATGTTAAGAGGAAAGTCCAATGGAGAGAATTCCAATGGAGAGACAACGACATAGAAAATTAATAGAAAAAGAGAAAGGAAATATAATGTGAAATTAGAGAAAAAGAGACACAAAAAAGTCGATTCGCAATCGTTTGGCGCAAAACATCGATATTAACGTAGTTCTGGCGTTGTGTGTTTAAAAAAAAGTCGTTCGCGAATAAAAGTAGTTATTCGCCGCGAATCGACGAAAACGTAGATATGTCGTTCACTAATAAAAAGTACCATTTGGGTAAAATACTAGTGGACTCAACTGGCAACCTGAAAAAGTTTCCGATTAGAGTGCGGACAGGACGGGATATCGAACGGGATTTTACGAGTCCTGTCCCGAAATCCCGTATTTTAAGCAACGAACGGGATTACAGGTTTACGGGATTAATCCCGCTGGATCCTGTCCCGTTAAAAATTTTGAAAAAAATCCCGTTGCGGGATCCCGAGAGCAACTCTAAAGAAAAAAAGACGGGCACCGAAAAACCGAAAATTCCCGATCCCATTCCATCCTCGCAAATCAAAAAATCGCAAAAACTTTTGAGACTCAAAAGTGCTGATTTTGAAGGTGCCAGTTGAGTCCAATAGTATTTTACCCAAATGGTACTTTTTATTAAAATTTTATCCAAATTTAATTTAGAATGGAGGTAATTTGTAAGTCCGAAAATGATGGTATTCTTTGTTTCGACACAACTGAAAGTCTTTTTCTATGGAATGAAATAGAGAATATTACTCCAAATCCTCATCAATCAACTTACAAATTGAACAATTTTAATTGGAATAAAGCAGCAAAACGACCACGAACTCTGGTTTGCCATGATCATCGTGGAGGTTATTTGGAATATGAAAGGTTTTTAATTTTTTGTACTTTAAGGAGAGGGGGCTCCATTTTTATTTTCTCCATGTAAGGAAGTCGGGTAGGTTTAATGCGGGTTTAAGAAATTACAAGGTAAGGAGGGACAAGGATAAAGGTTGGGTACTTTATTTTTAATCAGTATAGTACCTGTACAACGTTATCAAAGGCGCCTAATAACTGCCAGGAGGCCACAAAATCAATGCCTGCCTGGGGCTAATTACCCTATAAATTTGGGAGCTGAATAACTTTGTGTGACATCTCCCCAAATTAATCCTATTTTTGTTTTATTCAGTTTCCTTTCTTCCAAATTTTTTTTCATTATAGTCTTCAAGGTATCACTTGTACTTCTCTACCAAACAAAGACAAAGAACGCCAAATTCCAATTTATTCATTTTTTCATTGGTGGTATATTGACATTTTTGTTTATTTCTCCCATCATTTTGTTACTGTGCCGCCTGATGTTTGGATTTTGGCTGCACATCAACACGTAGTTTTGATTTTAGGTTCGTTTTTAGATTTATTTTTAAGGTTCTATTAAAAGTTAAGAAAGAGATTAGCCGGTATGGATCGAACTTGTGACTTTCTGACAGTAATACTGAGGGCCTCGTTCACCATGTTCAGGTGCTCTCCTTTTAACTGGGTACTGGAACGCTCAACTTAGTGTCAATCTGTTCTCCCTAACTTATAGTCAGCTTTCCTACCGATTGCCCATGAGAACGCCTAAACTTGGAGGGGGATAATGTAGGTGTTGTCTCCGGATCATAGCCAGGCTTTACGTTCATAGCATCCCATTTTGACTGACAATGGCTGACCATATTATCTACCGGCGCTTTTTAAGTCTTAAATTCACCTCTCCTTCATTCTAAAAATCTTTCTATTTTTCAGGAATATTTATAATCGAATCAGTCTCTCTTTTCAATCAATCTTTTTCTGATGATTCCATTACCGATAAAATTGTTTCTTCCCTCGTTGATTTATGCAAAAATATGAATTTTGGTTTTTTTAAGGATTTTTAAAAATTTTCAAATAGTTTTCATTTTAAGATGGCTGGCTTATTAATATTGAAAATCGCGTTTATTCTGTTTATTTGGACCGATTAGAAGGGTTTCTGAGAAAGTTGAGACGAGATTTGCGAGATAATGTTCATAATTGCACTCAAGGTTTTTTAAGGATTTTTAAATAATTTTTTGTTTTCAAGTAATTTGGTATGACTCAGTTGTAAATTCTGGTGAATTGTGTTGGCAGAATGAGCTCAATAAGGACAATATGTTCGTAGGAAATCTTTAAAAGTTAAATTAATATAATAGCTTCCAGTTGGTCCCTGGTTCTCTATTTTCTTCCCTTTTATTCAATTTAACAAACAACATCCAAAATTTAACAAGGGAAATCCCATCAGGCTAGGAAATTTAAAACGTTCATATATGGATTTAAGACTTGAGACCTCTGAAACCTCAATCAATTTAGCACCTGAACGTAGTGAGGGGAGTGCCTAACTACAAATAACTTCTAATCAATTAACTCACAACTGAACATTGGGAACTATAACCAAAAATTTGCGATGTAAAACGGTTATTTTTGCCGTTTCCTGCCCGTTGACAAAAAAAGCTTTTAGACTAGAACTCTTGCTAAAATAAACAAAAAAACACTTTAAGGCGTTGGTTCTCATCTGTTGATGGTTTTTACACAAATTATGGCTGGACAGAATGTCATCTTCAACGAACTCTCGAAACTTTTTACAAAAACTTTTCTGAGGACAAATCTCTTTTTGATATTTATATTGGAATTGATGTTTTTGGACGGGGTTGTACAGGTTTTTTACCTTCTAAAAAATTTTTAAGAATATTTTTAGGAGGCTGGGAATGCTTTAAACCTTTGGAAGTTATTCGTCGTTACAACTTTTCTACAGCAATATTTGCGCCAGGTTGGATTTGCGAGACTTGTCCTAAAAGGGATCAGAAAATTAGTCTTTTTGATAATTCTGAGAAGTTCTGGAATTTGTTAAAGGTTTCTAATTTTATTCTTTACTTAATTTTTTGGGCTAGATAATGTTACAAAATGGGGTAATGGTATTTATAATGTCCGATGTTCATGCTGTGGAAAAATTGTGGATGGTAGATGGAATTGAACCATCATGGAATGAGCCCAAACCGAAGCACAACCGACTGTGCCACCATCCAACCCGATGCTGGGTTATTTATTTTCATTTATGTTCTTTCTGCAAGCGCGGACACAACACTCCTTCCGCCTTGCGAAACCAAGCGTCCTCGCTTGTTGCTTGTCTTCTATAACTATCATCTGTTTCGATTTTTGGAGAGCACACACAGAAACCCATTTTGTGGCATTTGCTGCGCTTCATGCGCCTTACGCATTTTTATATTATATTAGCCTCGCAACACCGGCTAGCCTATCACAACTCAGGCATTTAATTTCTCACAGGGTCTTCTCCTTTTTCTCTCCACAGTGACAGAATGTCAGATCATCACAGCATTTGAAGGTTCGCTGAAATTTCCTCAGGCTAAGCCTGGCCTGTCCGACTGCGCCATTTGTCATGTCCGAGTGTTCGTACTGTGGAAAAATTGTGGATGGTAGATGGAATTGAACCATCATGGAATGAGCCCAGACCGAAGCACAACCGACTGTGCCACCATCCAACCCATTGCTGGGTTATTTATTTTCATTTATGTTCTTTCTGCAAGCGCGGACACAACAGTATTTAAGTGAGCCTATTAGAGTTTTGGATGCCTTCTAGTTGTAGCATTGTTATAATAGAGATCTACCGTGACATGATCTCAAACAAATACTCATCACATTGATATTTTCCAAGATACTATTTCTTGTATCTCGTACGACTCTTTCATTCCGGTCTCGAGTTAATAGTTTTAATTTTCGAAACCACACCAAAATCTAAAAGTATGTTTGTCACCTATCAGTACCCACTTGTTTTTCAATTCCAACGGGTTTCAATTTTGTCCCAAGTATCTATCCTCTGTTCTGATTGTGCCCACTAGAAAATCATTTATAGCTTATATACCTATTTAAATCCAAAAATTTCCTTTTTCTTTTCAGCCCTATTTATTTCCCCATAAAATGGTCTCAAAACAATTTTGTACAAATTTTTCTGTTGGATTTTCTTCAGAATGTCTTGATTTTTGTTCTGAAGAAACAAATAATTTTTGTATGAAGAATCTCAACATTCAACCTTTTTATTTGAGTTCTACAGCATTTTCAAAGGATTTAAAGCCTGGGATTTTAATTGACAATGTTGGAATGTTTAAGTAAATTTTTTTAAAGATTTTTTATTTAAATTTTTAATTTTTTGCCATTTTGAGACCTGACCCTTTTTTGACTGAAAATTTTATTTTTTAAAAATTCAAAGGTTCTTCCCTCGGATTTAATTAACTTGGGATTTAAATTACCTATATTCCATGAAATTTTTAATGATATTATCGAGGTTGGGGAACCCTTCGTCTGAAAATCGGAAAAATAAATTTTAAATAATATTTTAATAGTTAATTTTTAAGCCTTTTCCTGTGCAATATTTTAATTGAACAAACTGATCGATATTTGGAGATGAGGTTTTTTTTTATAAAAAATTTTTAAAAGTATTTTTTAGTTATAAATCATCATTTCCCGTTGAATTTGTTATAGAAGTCTCAAACAGCTTAAATGTTGAACATTTATTGGCTAAAACTAAAAAATCCGAAGAGCAACCAGAAAATGTTCAAGGAATAACCAAAAAATTTTCTAGGTTTCTTTGAAATTTTTAAAAAATTTCTTCAACTTTAAAAATTTTCCGGTGAGAAGATTTTTTTGAAATTGAAAAATTTTGGTTAAAATGTGAATTTTTTCTTTTTTCCCAATTTTTTAAGCTTAAATATTCGCCTCGATTATAAGTTAAGCGGTGGTTAAGTTGGTTCTGGTTTAGCCTCGTTGATTTCTCCAGCATAAAGTTCTATTCCTTTCTATCTTTATTTATTTATCCCCCTCCTAATTCTATGATTTTTCACGTCAGTTTCTATGATGATTAACCTAGCTCACTCTGAAAAATGTTTTGACGACTAAAACTTTACCGAGTTCTGAGAAACTGAAAAATTTGAAAAATTTAATTTTTAAATTTAAAAAAAATTTTTAATTTTAATTTAGTCATTTCAACAACAAAAATACTGAGGGAGAAGAACAAAAACAAATTGATGAGGAATATTTTCCATTAATTATAGAAGACAATTTGGAATTAAATTTGCAACAAAAATCTGGTTGGTATATTAAAAAAATAATTTTATGGGTAAAAAATAATAATAATTTTCCTAAAATTGAAAATCAAAACGATTTTCAAGAAAAACGTTTATTTTATTTTAAAATGAATTTAGTCTAAAAAAATTTTTTTGCTGGGATTTTTAACACCTCATCCTAAAAGTGTTCCCTCGGTTTCTTAAAAATTCTGGGAGGTTCCGTAGTTCTGAATTTCTGGAAAGTTCTGAAATTTTCCAAAGGATGACGTTTCTTGGCGTTATAGTTCTGGACGGCCAGGAGAACACTCTGGATGAGGATCTCGTAAAAAGGGAAATTTTTCTGATTTTTTAGATTAAAAAAAATTTTTTTTTCGTTTTATGATTTTTCTGTGGCCATTTCTTTCTTTTTTTCATCTCCCTCCCCACTTTATTTTTTCTTCTATTTTCTCCCAAAAACAACAATATTACTAATTTTTGCTTTCCTTTATCTCCTCCCCTTCTTAAATGTGATATGAAGCGTGACAACAATTGTTTTTAAAAAATATATATTATTTATTTGACAATGACAAAAATGTGTTTTTTGCAATTACTGTTTCCTTGTAGTTAAAATTATTATTTTGGAATATTTTTAAAAAATTATTTTTTTACGGAAAAATCGCCTTTTTGGGTCCCTCCAATTTTCTGGTTTTCTTGGGGTTTTTTGGGTATTTTGTTTTTTTAACGTCGTTAAAAATTATTTTTGTCTAGTTAAATTTTTGAAGAAAAAATTTTTGGGATTTTTAAAAATTTTTTGACAATAACAAAAATTTGTTTTTATTTTAAAGTTAATCCTATAAGGTTTCCAATCTTCAAGACTTTTATTTTTCTTGTTAAGAATTTTTTAAAAAGAATTTTCCAATTTTTTTCTGACTTCTAAAAATCTCTTTATAACACATTTAAGAAGTGTTCACCTTTTCTTTTAATTTCTTTTTTAAATTTCTTCTCTCTTCCATAAAAATCCAAAATAAAATTAGTGCAAATTTATTCATTTCCTTCCCCCATTTTTTCCATTATCCAACTTGTAATACTTTTAAGGAAGGAAAAAGAGGCATAAACTTAGGCGGGGAAAAACGGATTATTTATTAAAATAATATTTTTAAAAATAAAAATTTCACACACAAAAATGCTTTTGTATATAATGACTTTTCTCTTTTCCCTCGAGTATACTAATGGAATTCTTCCAGTAACTCCCCCCCCCCTCTCCCCTTATATTTTTAAAGCGGCGTGTTATTGTGTCCTTTTGGTCATAAAGCTGACTAGAAAAAAATAAAGAGGGCTTTAAGGAAAAAATAAAACGCTTGAGTGAATACACCCGCAGCACAGTTTATTTAATAGAGTTGCTCGGATGGAGGGGGCTATTGATTTTGAAATAGGGGGAAAGTGAGTGAAAGAGGTATTAGTTTAAAGTTGGGATGTTGGGGGAGGATATTGAATCCTTTAGGCGAGGATCAGTTTGTTTTTTGATTTTTACATCGGTGAATGACAGAGTTGGAGCTCACTATAAGTAGGATATCCCTTTGAGGTTGATGATATTGTTTCTTATAATGAGGGGTACTTAAAAGGAGGTGGGGAGCTTAGGCAACCTCATCGTCCAGAACCTCATTCTAATATACCTTCTTGGAGCTAAAAAGTTGTTTCTTATAATGGAGGGTATTTTGAATGGGAGGGGTGGGGTAGACGTATCCACCCATTGGCGAACTTTTTTGGGGGTGCCCTATGGTAAGGGTCTGACTTTATTTACCTTTACTCAACGAACTCACGATCTCCCTCCCCCACCCTCTCCTCCTAAATAATTTTTTAAATTAAAATCCTCCTTTCTAAAAATTCCAATACCCCCCCCCCCCCCCCGATTTATGTTAAACAAGGCGCTTAATACATTTCATCTTCATTTTTAGGGTTTCATTTGTCCTTTTCTCCAAAGGATAAACGAAAAATAAAAAGAGAGGAGGATAAGAGTAAAGACGAGAGGGTTAAAGGCAGATAGTCATTTTCCTCCTTCATTTAATGGCTAATTCCTTTTCCTGTGCTCATCTTTTTTAAAGCGCTTTTCATTTATTTATTCTTTCAAAAACACTATATGCCCCATTTCATCAAAAAAGGGATTTTTTTTGAAAATTATTCAATTTGTTATTGTTTACAAGAGACAAAAATGATGGTGGGTCTTTCCTCTTTAATCTATACCCGTTGGCCGTGGCCACCTCCTTTTTTGAACTAGTATACCTTCTACTTGCCTATCTACCTCTCAAGATTCGTTGGAAACGAATTCGTACGCTGGAAACGAATTCGTAGATACTACGTGACGAGATTTACTATAATTTATACTTTCAAAGCTAAATGTAAGAAAAAAATTTTTCCTCCGAATTCTCCCAACAAATGCAACAAAACTTCATTTTCATCAATTTCCTTCAATCATTTAATTTATTCCATTTTTTCTTTTTTCTAATTTCTAACGCTGCCGTTTTGTTTGAAGAAAGTTTAAATAATGTGGGGAATGCTGGAGGTGTTGGTTCTTCAGTTTCTGCATATGAAGAGAATTTTGGGGGGACAACAATTAACAGGCATAAGGCTTTGGGGAAAAATACAAATTTATCGCCATATTCTTCTTCTGGATCATCAGCTCAATTTGTTAGTTTTAATTTTAGGTCTCACCTTGAGATACCCTCAGGATTAGCACACCTCTATTTAAGATACACTGGTTAACCATTGGGTGGGGGAGCTTCTTAGACGATACCCTCTATTTCAGACACCCCTCTATTTAGTAAACACCTCTATATAAGCAATACCCTCCATTTAAGACATCCCCATTTTAAGATACAATTTTTCAGCTCCCAAGGGGTGTTTTATAGTGAGGCCCAAGTGTTCCAAATTTTTCTAATTTTTCTAATTTTTAAGCCAATAAATGAACGTCTACAAACATTTGTACACACATTTGAGACGTTAGAGCAATGCGCAGTAGCATGCCCTAGACCTTGTGCAATGACAGTGATGGAAGAATTGGAAATGATGCAACGTTGGATTTGTGATCCAAATGCTAGGGTTTGAAAATTTAAAATCTAAAAAATTTTCCGGAAACTTTCCGGAAAGATTGGGAGCCATTAGGGAAGAAAGTTGGGTGTAAATTTGTTTTTCGGAGAGTACAGAGAATTTTTAAATTTTCCGGAAAATAAAGATAGACAAAAAGAGAACCCGAAACCTTAAGGAAAAGTGGGAATCCCAGAGAGTTTGAAAAATTGTCAAAACTTTTAATCACGATGATTTTGATGTCACTCGAATCAGCTCGATGAGCTTTGTCGAGTGAGCTATCGTTTGTAAAATCGATTTTCTACCTCAAAAAGGACCATTTTGATCCCCTTTTAACCTATTATTTTTTAGTTAGAGAATTACAACCAACACAGACTGCCCCAAACAGATAAAAACTTTCCAAGTTCGAGTAGAACAGAAAGAGGAGGTAAAGATGCTAATAAAAATAATTTTTTACAAATTTTAAATAATCAAGCACTTTTAATTATTGTCCCAATTATTTTATTAATTATTTTGTCTTCCCTAATTTTAATAAGGCGGTGTGGTGTTAAATCTACTACATCCTCTAATAGTAATTCTCTTTGAAAAAAAATTTTTTATTTTTTTAATTTTTTTTTAATTTTTCCAAAAAGTTTTTGGGGAAATTTTTACCTCAAAAAGTTGATCATTTTGATATCAAAAAATTTTTTTCATAAAAATCCTTCAAATTTTCTTCAAAAAAAAAAATTTTTTTTTAATGTTCTGGTCCTTCCATTAATTTTTTAAAATATATTTTTTTTCCTATTTTAGCCTCTTCATTTTTTCCAAAAAATATCAAAAAATATTTTTTTCATCAAATTTTTATTTAAATAAAAAACATATATATTTAATTGTTTATTTAACAAAAAATAAACGAATTTTTTAAAACACACAAAAAGGATTTACATAGAGTCGAACCTTCCAGATCAATTCGATCCCTTGGGGTGATATATTAGAGAAGTCTGACTTTATTTAATCAGTAGAGTCATACAGAGGAAATATAGGTATGTGGGGATTTTTAGATGTTCTCACAAATTTTCGAAAATTTTCAAAAAAATTTATCCAAAAAAAAATTTTTTAATTCCCCCCGTATATTCCCCCTCTCCAATTCTTGCACAATAAAAACAAATATTTTAGAACACATAAATTAATAACAGAAGTAAGATTTTCTTTTTTTTGATAAAATATAGTAATAACAAAAATAATGTAGATATGAGAGAGAGACAGTTTTTTTCAGGAAAATTTTTGATGGCCAAAAAAAATTGAATAGACAAAAAAATTTTATTTTCAGAAAAATTCCCAGAAAATTTCAAAAAAATCAAAAATTCCCATTATCCCCAAATTTTAATAAGGTCAAAAATAGCGAGATTTTCGAAAAACCCTGACCTTGATCCTTGATTTCGGTTGGGTACCTTGACCAAATTCTTAACCTTGAGTCAAGAAAAAATCAAGTAACACTGAAAAATGTCTTGATCTGGACTTTGGATCCAGAAAAAATAAAGGTCTGGATCCAGATCCTCTAGTAAAAAAATAATTTTTTTTTCTGGAGATTATTTTTAAATATTTAGGTCTATTTTTAAAAATATAATTTTTAAATTAAAATAGAAAAAAACAATTTTTTAGAGTATTAAAAAAAATAAAAGTTGGAATTTTTTTCTAAAAAAAATTTTTTTTAACCTCTTTTTGTTGCTGCCCTTTTTTAATTATACAGGTCAATTAAATTATTAAGTTGTCTCTCAACACCAACAAGATCCTTCTTCCGTAACAATTTGGCGTGGTTTAATCGGTCCAATGTCAACAACTTGTTCTGAAAAAGAGAAATTTTTTTGAAAAATTATTTTAAAAAAATACTGGCGTCTGAAGGTTTTTCAACGTCAATTCCAGGCAATGCACTAGCTATTCGTCGAAAGAGCTAAAAAAAAATAAAAATTTTTTATTTTATTAATTTCTAAAAACATTGGGAACCCAAAAATCCCTCGACTTGCTATTCCAAAGTGACCTTTTTTTGTAACATGAGTTTGGGCAGAGGCCCAAACAAGGAATAGAAAAATGGGACCAACTCTATGAAAGTCAAATTCACTCAGTTTTTAAATTTTTTCTTCGGATCCGATCCTAAATTAAACAAAGAACAGATTGGGGTTTTCGGACCGGGACGACGTTCGAGTCATTTTTATCGGGTTAGATCGGCCGAGTCTTTTTCGGGCCAAAATTCGATGCCCGAATTGATCTTTCGAACCGCAAGAAAAAATAGAAAAATGGGTTCAACCCAATCCTAATAAACAAACTTAAACGTTAACACGTAACTCCCATATTCTAGCAACTAATAAAAAAAAACAATTCCAATTAGAAAATAGGATAAAATATCCGGCTTTAAAATTCCCCCACTCTAAAAAATTTTTTTCTAAAGAATTTATAAAATCAACCTAAAAATAGAGGTTAAACCCCATTTTCTAGCCTCAAGTAAATTATTTTAAAAAAATAAAACAAACATGTTTAACATTATAACCCGCCTTTGCCGACGTCTCAATAAACATTACATTAAGCTCTTTAGCCTTCTGTTCCCCTTCCTCTGTGGAGACTTGGCTAAAAAAATATTTTCGGATTAAACTTTAGAGAAGTAAAAAAACCGTTTTTCAGTCAAATCAGTCTTATTTCCAACAAGCATAATAATAACGTCACTTCCGCGTTCAGTGCGAACATCGTCAATCCATTTGGAAGTTTGATGGAAAGAGTTGGCGTCTGTAAAATTTAAATAATTACGAGATAAAGAATAATAAATTGAAAAAAAAAGGAAATTGGATTCAACAAACGAAGGTTCTGAAAAGCCTGTTATCGTGTCTCTGGATCCAGGACAAAGATTTGGCCCAAAACAACGATGAAAATTGGATCCTACTTATGAAAAAATCAAAGCAAGTATCAAATGTGTGGCGAAATACCGAAACAAATTTTAAGAAGCGAAAGGTGAGACCCAAGTCAAGGCGTAAAAAGCGTCTTCGAAAAGACGTGCTAGCCTTCTTCTACTTTCACATGAGCTCTACCGATCAAATCTTTGTTCTTGACCCAGAAACGAAATCAAGGCATTTTCCAGATTTGATTTCCCAGATCTGGAGAGGTTTTCCTAGATTATTTAAAAAAATAGTGAACAAACTTGTAATATCATAGACAACAACAGCAACTAAATTAAACAAAAAATTATTTAAAAAATTAAAAAAAGGAGAGAAAAAAACCTGTAGAATCACGAATATAGGAAGGAATAAGAGATCGAAAACGCTCCTGTCCGGCGGTGTCCCAAAGTTGTAGACGAACCTAAAACTCGAAAATTCAGAAATAGAAAAAAAGGCTCACAGTTCTGTCTTCAAGATACATTGTTTTGCTGAGAAAATCGATGCCAATTGTCGCCTGATATGTGTTGTCAAAACTGTCGTACATAAATCTGGTGATGAGGGAAGTTTTGCCAACTGGAAAAAAAGTAAAATTTATAAAAAAGGAAAGCAATTGGGAAAAAGTTAATTATAGAAGAGCCGTGAGAATTAATCGAAAGGTGGACAAGTTCGCAAAGATCCCAAACGATTTGTGGTTTTTTACATCCCAAACAAAATATCCAATCCCAAAACTAATAGAGATCGAAATTTTTTAAAAGGACCGACTGACCTGGATTATCTCAGAGTTTAAAATCCGCTAACCGGAAAGAAATCGTTAGTCCCGGAAACAACAAAGAACCTTAAAAATGCCTAGAGCCAAGTTCTAGGAGAGGAAAAATCTAGGCCTAGACCCAACTCGATATCTATTACCCAACAATCCTTAATAGTCTGTTTCTCTTCCAAAAGGAAATTATAAATTTTGACAGTCATGGAGGCCAACTAAACCCAAAATAAAAAGTAAACCGCTTTGTTCTCCAAGAAATACTAGCTTGAATTTCTTCAAAGGATTGCCAAAATCTGAAGACATGTTCTGATTAAAAATAAAGTGTCAAACGGCGAAAATTAGATAATAAACAATCTAAAATAAAAAAGAACAATAAAACAATTAAAAACAAGCAAAAATTTCCAACAAAATAAAAACGTGTGTTTCCGCTTGGAAAAATTTAACGTAAAACGGCAGAGAGTCAGAGAAAAAAGAAATAGTATAAGGATTTAAAATAAAAAATAAAAATACAGTATGCCAAAATAAAAAAGTTTCGAAGCGAAATGTGAAAATGGAAAAGCGTTAAAATACAAAAACGAGCAGGTTAGAGAAAAACAAATTTTTTTGTTTTTTTCTTCGAGCTCTAGGGGTATTTCGTACCGCGGTACGGGTTTTTTTTATTTTTTTTTCGTTTTTATGTGTTTATATGTGTTTTTTATCCCCTTTATGCGCGCGCGGCGTAAAATTTAAAAAAATAAAGTTAATTTTGATTAAAAAAGTTAATTCCCTCAAATTCCAGCATACTCATCGTGGCCTGCTGATGTTGGTGGTGGTGTGGTTTAACTTTTGTGTTTTTTAAATACTTTTCTAAAATTTTGATTTTTCAGTGTTCTTCATGCACTTCTGGATGGTGGCCTTCAACATGCTCTTCAACAAGTGGTGGTCTTCAACATGCTCTTCTGGATGGTGGCCTTCAACATGCTCTTCTGGATGGTGGCCTTCAACATGCTCTTCTGGATGGTGGTCTTCGACATGCTCTTCTGGATGGTGGTCTTCAATATGCTCTTCTGGATGGTGGTTCAACTTCAATGGATGTTTGGAGGTTTTGATTTTGTTAATTTTTTTTCGAAATTTTCACATTTTTCTTTTAAGACGTCTGCCGACTCAACACAATGGTTTTTTGATGTCTTTCAATTATGGCTGATTTTTTTTGTTCAGGACGTCAACATGGATGGACTGGTCAATATGCTTTATGGTGGAAGGCGGTGTGGTCGTTTTTTTAACAAAAAATAAGGGAGGAGGGTGGGTATTTTTAGCTAGGTCTACCTGCTGCTGATGGTTGGAGAACATGCTTCTGGATGGTTGGTGGACAATGTGCTTTTGGTTGGTTGGAGAACATGCTTCTGGGTGGTTGGAGAACATGCTATGGATGGTCAATATGCTTTTGGATGGATGGTTTTTGGGTGTGGTTTTTATTTAAATTAAAGGAAAAGTGGGAGGGGTGGTTTTTTAAGTAAGGGTGCAACTCCAGTTCTGGTGTGCAACTCCGGCTCTGTGGTGCTCAACATGGTGGGCTTGCTGTGTCAACACTTCAACTGGCCTTGGTACGAAAAATTTTAATTTTAAGCAAAAAAATGCCAAAAATTTAAATGCGCGAGCGCTACCCTCTACTTTTTTGTTCGCTTATTTTTTTCACTTGTCTTTCTCCTTTGTCTTTGTCCACTCATTTTTAACTCGTCTTTTCAATTTTAGCCTTTTTTATAGAACAGGTTGATCTTCACCATTGGATGGTCAGAATATGGTGGTCAACAAATTGTCAAGGTTTTTCAAGAAGCGGGGGTAAAGCAAATCTTATTAGGGTTAAGATGCTTAGGGGTGAAAAATTCAGGGTTAACCTATTCTTTAAGTCGGGTTATGCCGCTCTTTTTCTTTAAATTCAAATTTATGGCATTCTGTTTATATATGTGACATTTTATCCAATTAAAAAATAGCATTGCTAGAGATGTCAGAGAAATTTTCTTCGAGAGGAGCGTTTGAGTCTTACACATTTTCTTGTTGCTGAATAGGGGAAGCACTTTTTTTTCTGTATTGGGGCATTTTTTTCACTTTTTTTGCAATATTATTAACAGTGAACGATTGTGCTACTTTCCTTATGTGTGTAGATAAGGTCTCCGATTGACGTTTTTTTAAACTTTTAAACTGTTTGTTTAAAGCGTTCTTTAAAGAATTTTCACTGCCCCGCCGATATTTCTTTCACCATGCGCTTTTTTTTCATTTTTTCTTCCACCCTTTTCCTTATTCCACATTGTTTGCGCTTTTCATTTTTGCTGAATCATTTGAAATCAGCTTTTTTTCCTTTTCATCATTAAAATAAAACTTTCATTTTAGATTGCATTTAAAAAATTATATATTTATTGCTTTATATTTGATCAACTTCAGTAGATGGCTTTTCTTCGAAAAAAGAAGGTTAAATTCAGTGTTGCATTGGTCGTGGAAAAATTGACTGATGTTCCGTTATTAAATGCTGTGATATTTGCAAAGGTATTTTTTATCCTTCAATTTTTGGGGTAGGGAGGAAAAATATCGGGACGGACATATCTGAGCTGCGGTGACTAAAATAACTTCTTGTCTATGGTTCTGGAACTTCCTCACTAAGACATTTTACTATGCACGACTCTGTGGCCTTAGGGCGTGAAACCATTAAAGTAGCAGTTTTTATATGTAAATGTCACTATATGTTTGTCACGATTTCCTGGCTCCCTTTTATTCATCATTTTGCAAATTTTTATCAAAAATTTTTTCAAAGGTTCGTCTACTCGAATGTGGTTCTTTTGTTGGCACTACATTGCATAGACCAGTCTGTTCCCACCAAGTTGACTTTATGATCCCTTCAGTTTCAAGACGGTTTAATAGTTCTGCACCTTCGAATATTCGCATGAGAAGTAGGACGAACAGTGGGCAAATTTATCCAAATGCAAATGTTCATAGGTTTTTAGCTTATTAAAATTTTGGGGGGTTTTGTATTTGGAAGACTTGTTTTAATTGCTGGAACTGGCAACAAGTAAAGTAAATAAACTCTGACCATTTTGGACATTTATAGGAAAAAACTTGAGGGCTGAAAAAGGACCAGTAAGCGACGTTTACCACTGCTTTTCTCAAATTTTCAAGTTTTCTCTTATCAAGCCCAAAATATTTTTCTTACAAAAATCCCTATCAGAGTTGAATAACCATTTCTTCCTCCTTTTTCTAGGCATAGTACAACAGACATAATTGATGGATCTTCCATCGCCTCTTCTATGAATTCCTTACAAGAACAACAACAACATAAACAATTTTCTTTATCTCCAGCTTCTCATAGAAAATTTCAACAAATTGAAAGGCGTCATTCTTTAACTGAACGTTCTCCACGTGAATTAGACGATGCTCACCGTAAATGGGATGATTTTGAAGAAGCTTTAAAAGCGCAAGCAGAAAACAGCCAAATCGATGAGGCAAGCTATCAAAAAATTTTGGAGCAAATTGATGCGCGCAATCGAAAATGCAAACACTTATTGGAAGAAGATGGGATTAAAAATGAATTTGATGAGCTAATACAGAATAGAATTCGCGATTCTGATCAGGTTTTTTATTAATGTTTTTTGTACACTATAATCTTTTTTGTCCATTTGAGCTCTCTTGTTTGAAATATTTTAGAATTGGTTGGATTTTTGGTTATTTAAGTTGGGTAGCGCTTAAGGATTATTTACTAGTTCACACAAGTACATAAGAATATTTATCTCATAACGGATATTACTGAACGAGATCTAGTCTCTGTCCCTGATCTCTAGGTCATATCAGATACGGAATGAGTTACCCGAAACCCTGATTTTTTTCGGCCCGAAAAAAGCCCGAACACCAACTTTTTCTATGTCATTTTCTATAAAAGTAAGAATTGTTAAGCAAAATTGGGTCCTCTAAAATTCTGAAACTTCGAAAAATTCGTTTAAACAAATTTTTTTATTTAGCCCGAATACTTTATCGATGAACTTGGAAATTTAGCTTATGCTGAAAAAAATACACAACCATTTTCTTTTTATTGTTATATCCCTTATGATTCTAAATATTCTGGAGAACTTGAGGTTTTTTTTAAAATTTTGTTTTCTTTAATTTGTACTTAATTTTAGGCCTGTCGATGCAAAATTTCATTAAGAAAGGTTTTTTTTTTAATTTTTAAAAATTTAATTTTGAAAAATTTGTTTTAGGAAGACCGTGCTGGACGTAATCCACAAAAATTGGGTTATGTAATAATTAATCTTTCTGAATTTGCTGGGAGTGGAAATACTGGTATTAGAAAGTCTTTTTTACTTGATGGATATTTTACAAGTCAAAGACAGGACAATTCTCGTGTTCATATTTTTATTAGAATGCAGCATGATTCATTAGATCCTCTTTTTAAAGTGTAAGGAGTTTTTAAATTTTTTTTTCATGTTAATCTCTCCGTGATATTTTTGACTGTTTTATCTTTGATTGGGTCTGACAGCAAAAAATGACGAAACTAGGGTTTTTAGAAAATCTTTGGATAGCAGGATTTAAATCGGAAGACTGGCCCAGAAAATCTTCGGTTCTCCTTTTTGATTCCGCTCCGGCTATCTTATCATTTTTTGACCAGAGCTCGTTGAACTTTATGTTTTGGCTTATTTTTATTTTTTCGGCCCGCCTCCGTTTTTAAACATCTTCTGATCATTCTATTATATTTCTGTTGACCTTAACTTGAGTTTCTACTTTATTTTTTCTTATAAATTCGGGTCCTTACGAGGATGAAATGTCAATTTTTATTTTTGCCTCAGTTTTTAGATAATATTTTTTTGGAATTTTTTTCTAATTTTTCAGTCCAAATTCTGCGTCTTTATTATTTCAACAACAAAATCAAAATGATATTGAAGATAATAGTTCAAATTTATTGTTACAACATGATCAATTAGGTCAATGGTTAAATCCTGTTGATAGACGTGCACCTCCTCCATCACCTAATGAAATTAATAATAATAATGGAGTTGGAGGAAGTTTTAGTGGAAATGTAAATAATGCAACTACAAATTCTGGAGGTTTTTTTTTAATTCATTTAATTCCTGTCGCTTTTCTGTGTTAAATATTTCTTGTTGGAGGGGGGGGGGGTGAAAAACTTGGCAAAAGTTCTTGAGAAAAAGAGAAACTTTTTACGGGGTGTGGTGGCGCATTTTACGGGGTGTGGTTTATAGCTCGGGTTCATGGGCATGATTCGTGGTTTATGGAAACTGCTTCCTAATTTAAGAATGTTTCTTAAAAGTTGATGTGATTTTTTGTAAAAATGCTTTTTACCATTACAAAAAATTTTTTCTTTTAATTTCTTCATAACTAGGGATGTCTTCGGATAAATAAAATAGGGACAATTTTAAATTTTTGCTTACGAATTTTGGGTCAAAAAAGTGTTCGCGTATTTGCTAACATGACAATGGGATACCCATTTTCTAAACCTTCATGAAAAATTTTATACCTCAATTCTAACTATTTAAATAATTTCTTTTTTTTTGAAGCAATAAATAATAATAGTACCAGCAGTAATCCAATTCCAATAATTGATTCAAATAATTTATTAACAACAACATTACCAGCCACATCAGCATCGTTAACTATACAATCAACAATTGGTTGTCCACCACCAATATCATTATTAGCAACATCGTTACATTTAACATCATCTTCAGGTTTTTAATTAAAATTTTTTCTTTACTTTTTAAAAATAAAAAATGGCTTTGGTTTAATTTATTGTGTCCATGAAGCTTTATAAGTCCAATAAAATGTCTACGATTCCATTTTACCAACGCCTAAAATTTTTTTGTGTCCAAACAAAATTTTATAAATCCAATATTAATTTATGAGTTCAATTATTCTAAATTGATGAGTACCTTAACATCGTAATTTGTTGGGATTTATTGCGAGTAATCTATTCAAATTAAGTTAATAACTTATAACTTCTGTGGACTGTTGGTCTTTCCCATTTAACATCTTCAGCAAAAAATTTTTTATTGGACTAAAGTTTTATTGGACGCATAAACCAGATCATTGCCAAAAAATTTTTTTTTGTATTTTTTATAATTTTTTAAAAATTTCCCCAGGTTGTACAAAAGAACATTTTCAACACCCAAAAGAAGAAAGATCTTCAAGTCTTATAACAAATCTTTCATCAAATACTAGTACAATTCCTTCAACCTCCACAACAATTTCTTCAATCTCTTCAATATTTCCAAATGTCCCAGGAGGTTTAGGGCATAATATGTCAATGAGAGTTCAAAGAACAAGACGTGATCCTGGTGATGTTATTGATGAGGTTTTTTTTTGAAAATTTTTTGAAAAATAAAAAAAAATTTTTTTTTTAATTTTAAGGTTTTGGCAGAAAATTGTGCAACAATCTTTTCTTCTTCAAAACCATTTGTTGATGATGTGAATAATAATAGCTGTAATATTAATAGTAATAATGTTTCAAGTGATGATGATGATTATAAATCGTCATAAAATTAATTTTCAATATTAATTATTATTCCATTGAGGTTTATTTAAAATTTAAAATATTTTTGAAGATTTTTAGAAAATTTCAGAAATTTTTTAGGAAAAAAAATTTTTTTTGGAGTTTTTCGAAATTAAAAAAATGTTTGACTATTTCTGGAAAAAATTTTCTTAGTTCAAAAAATTGGAATAATAATATTTAAAACCATAATATATTAATATTAATGATAGCGCAATATATTATATTTTAGTGGAAAAAATAGCAAAAAAATTATTAATTAAAACAATTTTTATTAGAGAGCCATAAAATTTTAACAAAAAAATGGTATATTTTTTTTAATTTTTTTATGGGAGGGGGAGGAATGGGATTGATGGTTTAGGAAAGTTTATTAGTTGGTTTTTTCCTTCATTTTATACAAAAAAATTTGTGGGTTTGAAGGTTTATCTTGATTTCTTCTCCCTCATGTTGTTCTCTTTTTAAATTTAGAGGGGGTCGGTTCAGGTTAATCTCATAAATTTTTTTAAATAAATTTTTGGTTAGTTGTGAGAGAGAGGGGGGATGTGAGGATTAACATCTCCTTAAAATGTGCTTCTTCTAATTTTCTAAATGAATAGGAAGTAGAAATTAAAAAAATTTTTTTTGATTATTTTTGGAATTTTTTTTCATTTTTGCTAGGTATCCGAGCAACCCTGTCAAGAATTTTTTTCTTTCCTTTTTCTTTTTTTTTTGGAAATAAATGGCCACCTTTTTTCGTCATTTTTTCTATTGTTATTTTTAAAGCAAAAAATTATTAGTAAAATTTTGCCATAGAAAAGTATTTTTGTGGGCTCTTTTTCCTTTTCGGAAAAATGTTATAAACTAAAAATAATTGTTCCTGTTGTTGTTGTTGTTTTTCAATTATGTCAATAATAAATGGAAGAATAATATTAAAAATAATAATATTTGGCTTAATTTATATTCAATATTTGACAGGTTTTTTAAAAAAAAATTTTTTTAAATAAATAAAAAATTTTTCTAAGCTTCGATACTTCCTGTTAATTCAATTGAAAGGAGAGCGCCAATATTAAAGTTTGTTTTTTTAGAAAATTTTTAAAAGGAATTTTTAAAATTTTTTTAAACGTTTTAAGAATGTTTTTGAAATTTATTTTAGAAAAAATTGTTACAATTAAAAAAAAATTTTTTTGGGAATCTTTTTGAAATCTTGAAATTGTCCGTAAAATTTTCTAGAAATTTTTAAAAAATTTTAAATTTTCTAGAAATTTTCGAAAAATTTAAAGAAATTTTTCAAAAAATTTTAGAATTTTTTTTTAAATTTTTGAAAATTTTTCCAAATTTTTTTCTCTTCTTTTCTCTTTATAGCGATGCATTAACAACAAACGAAACATTGGCAGCTGGTAGAAATGCTTTTTTAATGAGCCATTTATTTGAAAGAATTAATTTAAAGAATCAACAACAACAACAAAAAATGTTAATGAATGAGACTGGAAGGAGAAATTCTTTATTTTTTGATGTAATTAAAGTTTGAATTTTTTTTTAATTTTTTGGGGACGAGTTTTGAAATAAAAGTATATTACAGTGGAGAATCCTTCTAATACAACTCCCGAGCTCCCTATCTCACCATATTTTTATTTATATGTATAGGTTCTTTTTAAGTCCTCGAGGGTGATGTACTAGTGGTATTTCAATGCTAATTTTAATAGAGTGGCGTATTAGCGGGAGTTCACTTGTTATTAATTTAAGGAGAATTCTAGAGGAGAGTTGAAGGTTATTTTTTTAAACGTTATTTTTAAAGGGTCCTATTTTCTTAAAAAAAAATTTTTTTTGAAAGGATTGCCCTCAATGGCCACCTAATTTAATTGAAAATGATCAAAATCAAAATTTGATTGAAGCAACAACAATTTCACAAACAAATTTTGAAAATAAAATTTTGGAGGACAATTTAACAAAAATAGCAACAACAGCAGAAATTTCAAGTTTGAAAAATTTTTTTAAATTTTCAAAAAAAAATTTTTTTCTTTTTAAAGATAATTTTCCTTTATTAAATGACGAAAATGAAGCAACAAATCCATTTATTTATCCACCAACAGAATTGACACCAAAAAATAATTTTAATGATAAAAATAATCGAGAGGATGTGCAATATCCGTATTGGTTAAAAATTGTTTTCTTTTGTGTTTTGGGTGAGTAGGAGATTTTTTTGGGAAAATTTCTGAGAAAAAATTTTTTATATTCAAAAAATTTTTTTTGGTAATTTTGAAAAATTTTGAAAATTTTTCTTATTTTTTTCAAATTTTTTGAAAATTAATGCGGGAAATTTTTTTTAATTTTTAATAAAAATTTCAGAGAATTTTAAGAATTTTTTTTAAAGAATTTTCGAAAATTTTCAAATTAAAAAAATTTTTTTGGAAATTTTTTTCCTTAAAGGTTTTGGAATTGCTTTCTTTTTATTAATGTTTTTAATTGGAATTATAACAAGATGTGAAAATGAAACAGCAAATAATTCAAATATAGAAGAAAATGTTGTACAAATACAATCTACGAGTAGAGGGTTTGAACGGAATGAAGCTACTGAAGGGGGAAAAGGTTTTTTTTTAATTTTTGAAAAATTTTTAAAAAATTTTTTTTTGGAAAATTTTCGCGAAAATTTTAATTAAAAAATTTTTCGAAAAAATTTTTTTCTTTTTTCCGTTCTTTCTTCGCGTAATAAACTTGTTGGTCCAACAAGTAGTGGAAGTATTGTTGTAATAGAAGGGCAAGGATTACAGCAACAACAACCTTCAACATCATTCTCAAATTATCCAGCAACAACAACAAATATTATTTCTTCCCCTCCAGGTTTAGTTACAACAACAGCAATAAATTCTAATATTTAAATGAAAAATTAATTTTATACAAAATATATTAAATAGGGGTAACTTTTTTAAACAAAAATTTGAGGGAATGAATATTTTTTGTTTATTATTGCATTATCGGTCCATATTTTATTTGTTTTATTTGGCTTTTTTCTCATATGGAAAGGATCGCAGAGGGCGTTCGGAAATGACGAAGGTGTCGAAAATCGGAACTTCCGGAAATTGAAATTCCGAACGATCTCTGGAGAGGATTAATAAAATTCTGAACATAGAGTGAGCCACATAGAGTGAGTTAGACTTGATTTTTGACTCTAAAATTTAAAAGTCCATCACCTAATCCATGTAAATGTTCCGATAATGCGATATTACAATTTTTTAAATTTTTAGTATTTTTATATTTAATATTTTTTAGGGGGGAAATTTATTTTTATTCAATTTGTTCATTATAGTGGAAATTTTTTTAAGTTTCTTCGTCTTTCTTTATTTTTATTGTTTTTTTTGTCTCAAAAATATTTTTGTTTGTTTTTTTTCGGTTGGCATAACTGTCAAGAATCTTCATTTTTTACTTAAAAATTTTTATCTCTTTATTATGATGATATATCCAATTTTCTAGTCAAGAAAAATTTTTTTTTCTCACGTTTTTGAGAAAAGCATTATTTTATTATTCATTTTTCGTGGGTTCTTTTATTGTTGGATATATTTTTTCTTTTTTTGAAAATAAAAATATAAAATTGATTTTCAAAAAAAAATAATTTTTTGTCCTTTCAATAAAGTGATGAATTTAACAACCTCCTTTTTAAGGAATTTTAACGGACCACTTTAAGGTTCAATCCAAAAATCTTGGACCTTTCCAAAATTGGGAAAATGAGAAATTGGAGACTATAAAGCTGTTCTTTCTTTTTTAATTAAATATAAACATTTAAAAAAAAAGGAACAGCTTTTTTTTACTTTAAATTAGTTAAGAACAAAGCATATATAGGCTTTGTTGTGTTGAAATTTAATATAGGTATCCCTTTTTAAAGGATTTTTTGCCGTTGTATAATATTTATGGATTTAATTCTTTTGTCTTTTTATTTTTATAAACCAGGGAACGAGCCGACAAAAATAAAATTCCCCATTTCGGGAAATCGGGATCCCGACCCAGAAAATCGTCGGGAAGTCCCGATTTTCGGGAACCTGGTATAAAGAAATAAGAGTTCCTTATAGTTGACCATTGTTTCTTCTGATTCCATTCTCTGACTTACAAAATTTTTAAAATAATTTTCTTTAGACTTTTTTGGGGGTAAACTGTTCCATATTCCCTTTTTTGTTTGGAACAAAAAAATTTTATTTTAGCATAGGTAATAAAAAAATATTTTTTTTTGCGTAGGTGTGTTGAGATAGTAAGCCCCTTTACACTATTATTTATGGTTCTTGAGTAAAAAAAAAGTAAAAGAGAGAAAATGCGCCATCGAGAATTTATTTTTTGTTGTTGGGCCAAGATTTTTTTTAATATATTCTTTTCTTTAGGCCCTCATATCCATTGCAAGAAAAAAAGAGGCTTTTCTCTCCCTAATAATAATAAATAAATTTTTTTTCAAAGCTTTCCTTTCCCCCCATTTTCCCCCTTTAAGGAGAGAAAATTGCGAGAGATTTGTGGGAGAGAAAGATTTTTTACAAGGTTTATTCTCTCAATTTTTTAAGTGGGTAATTTCCTTCTTCCCCTTCTTTAGCTTTAGTTGGATCTCATATATTTTTGGCATTTTTTCCTCTTTTTAAAAAACCTCAACAACAACAAAAAACCCATCATTTACACGCATTCTCCTGTAACGGAAAGGTTGCTTGTTTTGCTTGTGCTTGATGCTCTTTTTCAGAAAAATAAATAAAAATATTTAAGGAGTATATGGTTACAAAGAGAACATTTAATAGGAGAAAGAGCTTGACAATCTTCTCAATAATAAATTTATTTTTTGTGTTTTTTAACCTAAAAATGAATTTTTTTAAGAAATAAGGAGCTTTTCTTGGCATAAATCGCCATTTAAGTCTAGCCCCGAGAAGGCACCGATCCTGCGGCCTTCCTGGCATTACTAGGGGCTACTGAGTCATTCACCAGCTGAATGGCAGCCTTCTTCACCTCACCTTCTTTTTTTAAAAATAGATCTTAAGCCCCCGCTTAGTAAGCGTTTTAAATGATAGTCAGCTTGATCTCTCCCTACATTTTATAATTTTTGTTAAGGTGCCTGGCAGAATCTTTATTAAAAAATTTTTTAGCTAAAGCTAGGTTATAATTTAAACAAGCTATGGATTATATAAACAATTTTGTTCTTCGTTATCGCCAAAATCGAAAAATGCTTCTTGCCATTGTTTATGTAGCAATATTTTTGGACAACATGTTGTTAACAACTGTGGTAAGTTTATTTTATTTTTTTGAAAATAAAAATAACGCAAAGTTTCGACACGAAAAGTACAGTATGAAAAAATTGGGATATTTTGTCATTTTAAATTTTGATTATTTTTGGCTTGCTTTTTTAGCAGTTTTTAACTATTTTAATTAGGTATCTTTTTATCAAGGTACCAATAATTCCTGAGTATTTATTGCGTATTCAGCACCCAAATTCAACAGATTTACTTTTAAACGATAAAATAGATGATTTTTCTTTAAATGGAGATGAATTACAATTGTATGAAAATCAACGAAGAAAACGTCAAACTTTGTCTTGGGATAGTCCTGATTGGGATGATAATAATGATTTTAATGAAAAGAAGGAATTGAGGAGAAAGTCAAAAGTATTTTTTCTTTGAAATATTTTATGTTAATTTTTAAAGGTAAAATCAAAAGGTAACAAAGGAAATGGGATGAGAGCTAATAATAAATTCATTGAAAAATCTTTGAAAGAAGATGACAACACCAATGATTATGAAGCACTTCCTGGAGCAATTAATATTGGACAAAATGCAAGTTTAAGTCTATTTTTAACGTCTTAAAGACGATACACGGGAGATTCTAAAATTTGGATGAAATGTCACCCTTTTGAAATGTCACCCTTCTAATTACAAATCCTTTTTATTTTGGGTTTTAGATTTGCTTTTGTTTCCCTGGACTTTAAATTCGAGGGATGGGATGAAATGTCTCTTTGATTTTTACAAAAAAATATTTTTTTCTCTCTTTATTTTAGGAAGAAAACAGCCAATTAGATGACGACAATTTTTATATACAACCAAAATTAAATTCAAAATTTTCAAGAAAAAATTCCACATTAAAACAACAACAACAAAATTATCGTCTACAAAAAGAACGTTTGCGACATGAAACTTTAGCAGATGAAAATGTTCACGTTGGATTAATGTTTGGGTCAAAAGCTTTAATCCAATTGATTACAAATCCTTTGTTGGTTTTTTTAAAGTTTTTTTTTTGTTTTTTGAATGTCCGCAAGTTCTAAAATTTTTTGCTGACAAAATTTGCGGATTTTGTGTTTTTTGGTGTAGTGGGATAATTTTTGGTTTTGTAGGGGCAATGACCATGGTTCGAACCCTTTTGGTGGAAAATTATTTTTAAACACAAATTTTTATTCTTTTTTCAATTTTAGAATTGGACCGTTGACGAATAAGTGAGTTGGAAAATTTTTCAAAAATTCTTCAATTTTTAAAAATTAAAAAAGGATTGGTTATACAGTACCAATGTTTGGCGGCTTCATTATTTTATTTCTGTCAACATTGCTTTTTGCATTTGGAAGTTCTTTTAGCTCGCTTTGGTTGGCTAGAGCTTTACAAGGTTTCTTTTAAATTTTTTGAAAATTTTATAATTTTTAAAAAATTTTTAAAGGTGTTGGTTCTGCATGTACCAGCACTTCAGGTAAAATTTTTTAAAAATTAGAATTAAACAGAAAAAATTTATAAACCTTTTTTAAGGTATGGGAATGCTTGCCCAAGCTTATCCAGATGATGCTGAACGTGGAAGTGCAATGGGTATTGCTTTGGGTGGATTAGCTTTGGGTGTACTTGTTGGGCCGCCTTACGGAGGGTATTTTTAAGACTTTTTTAAGTTAAAAATTTTTTCCAAGTTTGCTTTATCAATGGGCAGGAAAGGAACTTCCATTTATTTTACTTGCTTTGCTGGCATTGTTTGATGGAAGTTTGTTTTTATTTTAAAAATTAAAAAAAGAATTTTTTTAAGCTGTTCAATTTTTATTGCTGCAACCTAAAATTGATAGAGGAGAACCTGAAGGGACAGCAATTTTGGAATTAATTAAGGACCCTTATATTGTCGTTGCTGCAGGTTTATTTTTTGCTAATAAGCTAATGATATTGCTAATAAGTTAAGTATTTAAAAAATTTCGTTTTGTGTTTTTGGTGTAGTGGGATAATTTTTGATTTTGTGGGGAGAATGTTCATGGTTCGAACCCTTTCGGGGGAGAATTATTTTTAATGAATCTAATTTAAAAATATTTCTATTTCCTTATATTTAGAAAACTTTTTTAACTTTATCTTCATTTTTAAAGGTTCAATAACTATTGGAAATTTGGGTATTGCAATACTTGAACCTTCCCTTCCTCTTTGGATGATGGAAAGTTGGTCTGGTAAGGACAATTTTCAAAAGGAAATTTTTCTATATTTTATTTAAAGCAACATCTTTTGAAAGAGGAGCTGCTTTTCTTGTGAGCAAAAAAATTTTTTGAAAATTTTTTTTGAAAATTTTTTAGCCAGCTTCAATATCTTATATGATTGGAACAAATATATTTGGACCTTTAGCTCACAAAATTGGAAGGTTTTTATTTTTTAATTTCTTTTTGACTTTGCGTCTATTCTAGGCTCTGAAATTTTTTAACCTTTCCTTTTTTCCTGGGCTTATGGAGTTTTTTTTATTTTTTAGTCATACCCTTTGATGGAGTTTAAGGTGACTGAAAAAATAATTTAGAAAATTTGTTTGGGGTTCTCATTGGTTTTTGATAGTGTAAAGCAAGGGAAATTCCCCTCTTCCTCCCGTCCAACCTCAGGAAAAGCTAAAACCCGGAGAAAAATTTTAAATCAATACTAACAGTAGGCCACGATTTTTTAATTTTTTTTCTAATTAAAAATTTTTTTTTTGAAATTTAAGATGGTTGAGTACATTTATTGGAATTGTTGTAATTGGATTTTGTTTAATTTTGGTATTTTTAACGTTTTTTTTTTCAAAATAAATTTTTTTTTTAAAGATTCCTTCAGCCGAATCAATTTATGGACTTGTCTTACCTAACTTTTTTATGGGATTTTCTATTGGAATGATTGACGCTTCAATGTTTCCAATGATGGGGTATATTGTTGATATTCGTCATGTTGGTATGAATTTTTTATTGAATTTTTAGTGGAAAAAATTTTTCTAAGGTGTTTATGGTTCAATTTATGCGATTGCTGATGCTGCTTTTTGTTTTGCTTTCTTTCTTGGGCCTTTCTTTAGTGGACCTCTTGTGCGGTCTGTTGGCTTTCCTACGTAAGATTTTTTTAAATTATTAATTTATGGACAAGATTATTTTTAAAAAACGAGCGAACGTCCGTAAACCGCCATGACAAAATTTTTTACTGGACAAAATGTCCAATCCTGTCCTAATTGACGAAATAGAATAATAATTAAGGGGGTTTTAAACAAAACGTTTACTCATTTTTGAGGGACAAAATGTCCACCCAGCCAAGGGTAGCGAGTGGAATCTTAAAATGTCCAATCCTATTTTTTGGACAAAATGTCCCAAAGATAAAAATGGCAACTAATTTTAAAATATTTTTCCATAATAACCTTTCAATATTTTAATGAATTAATTTTTCTAATTAAATAGAATGATGTATTTCATAGCGGCAATAAATTTTTGTTATGCTCCTTTAATGTTTTTCCTTCGTCATTTGCCGCCAACAAATGCACAAACTGAAGGAGGAGTAGAAGGAGAACAACAAACATTAACTTCAACAACAACAAATCAAAATCAACAACAACAACAAAAACAAATAATATTAAATACTCCTTTAATTTATGAAAAAATTGAAGGAATTAATGATCCTCAACTTTTATATGGAAATGAACAACAAAAAAGACAAACAAATGGTTTTAATTCTGTATGGGATGATTAGAGAAAAATTATGAAAAGAGGATTTTTATTTTTTCATTAAAAATTCTGTGAAAATAATTTCCCAAAATTTTTTATTTCTGGTGTAGTGGGATAATTATTAATTTTATGAAGTCAGGTCTCTGGTTCGACCCCTTTTGAGTGAAATTTATTTTTTTAATATTTTCTCTTTAAAATCCTGCGAAGATTATGTTCCCTTAAAAAATTTTTCGTTTTGGTGTAGTGGGATAATTTTTGATTTTGTGAAGACAACGACCATGGTTCGAACCCTTTTGGTGGAAAATCATTTTTTATAGCATTTAAAATAGGACAGAATATTTTACAATTAATCTGTTAACTTGAAAAAATTTTTTTTCTTTGTTTTTAGACATTTTTCAATTATTATAAGATTTTTCTATTCTTGTCAATCTCTTTTTTTTTAAATAAAATAATTGAATAAACAAATAAATCTTTTTTAAGAGTTGGAAATAATTTTGTGTTAATTGAATATAACTAGTATTAATTCTAGTTTATTTATATTTATTATTATTTGGCTACTAATATTTTTCGGGACAAAAGAAGAACTTTAAAAGGAATATTCTAGTTTTTTTAAGTTATGGACAACAGGAAGGACAAATGTGACCCAATTCTACACAAATTCTACAAAATTTTGGTTGGACAAACTTTATGCTCGAGATTTCTAATTTTGGTATTATTTTTTTAAAGAAGAGATCAAGTTTATTTTTGTAGGATTGTTTATGGAATAGAATTTCGAATGGAGAAGTAGACGAATAAAATTAGAAAAAGGCCAGTTTAAATGAGAGACGACTGTTTCTTGAAGTGTTGAAATTACGAGGAAATTCGAAGGTTTTTTTGTTTTTATTTGATTAGGGTTGGGGCCATAAGGGTTTTATTCGTCCAAAGTTTCCGTAGATTTTTAGGATATCCATTTCTTGACAGAACGACTTTTTGTCAAATTATATCTGTCTCTTACTTTGCTCTATTTTTCTTCGTTTTGGCCTCTTAATATTTACTAGGTCACGTCCTCATTTTTTCATGACCTTTCTTTCCAATTTTTGCCTTTTTCTTCGTTCTCTTCAATTTTTGCCTAGACAAGAATTCTTTCAAAAACATTTTGGCGCTTTAATTTGAGTCATACTTGGACATTAAATATTTGTTCTTTTTTCTACCGCACTTTTCTCTCATTGTAAATACACTTAATGGTCAATTCCTTCTTAGAAAAGTTCTTTCGTCGTTCTTCTCTCGTTGAAGGGGATATAACAGTCGCCGCTAGAATCAACCATTTTTAAATTTTTTTGTTTGGCCTATATTTCTTTTAATAATTTTTTGACATTATCCTTATTTTAAATATGTCCAAAAAAATTTTTCTTCTCATTAAAGTCTATTCCAAATAATTCTGTCAAAAAAAGTTCAATTTAATCAGAGGAGAGCCTGGTTATTTTTATTAGGGGTTAAAAAAGGGATCTATTTCCCATAGCTTTTTTAGGACGTCCGTCCCTTATTGAACAGAACACCTTTTAGTGAAATTAAGTATTTTTCTTACCTTAGATCAAACTTTAATTTTTGGCCTCAAGTGTTTTTCCTTTTGGTTGCTCTACTTCTTTTCTTTGTAAAAATAATAATATTGTTGTCATACGGCAAAAATCTCTTCACACCAAAAAATATAAAATTTTTGATCAAAAAAACTGCCAAAAAATAATTTTTCATTTCCTCATTTTTTTCATTCGACAAAAAAAGAGGAGGCTTTATTGTCATCATCATTTTCGTCTTCACAAATTAACTTCAATTTTTTATCCTTAAAAACGTGTTTTTAGTTTTATTATTGTTGTGAGTTGGCATTTTAAACAGAAAAAAAACTTTTTCAATTTCCCTCATCAAATTTTTATATTTGCCTTTTTTGGTTTTATTTGCCTTTTAAATACATCTTTATTTCCATTATTATTTTATTTTCCATTTTTAAACAACAAAAATTACTTTCTTCAACGACACCTTTCCATATTGAATATTTCTCTCAATTAACTACCTTCAGAAATTTTTTAAAATTTTTTAAAAATTTTTCTTGACTCAAAAATTTCTTAAATTTGTTTATTTAACATTTCCCAAGCCTTAATTCACAAAAATAAATCATCTACTCGTTGGTGGAATCGAACCTGTGACCTCTTTATAGTTGTAGTCTGCGCTCTTACCCACTTGACCAAAAGTTGATTTTTCAAGTTTTTCTAGTTGATTTTGCTGAATTTTCTAGTTTTGTTTATCTTCTCAATAAAATTCAATTAAAAAAAAGAAAAGCGGCAACAACGACATTTTTTCGCGCATTTTCTTTATAAAATTACGCAAAAATAAGGGGAGAGAGGGGAAGGAAAAATTAGCGGCGATGTATGGAAAAATGGCAAAGCAGTCATCATTCTACTTCACATATATGGGCAAAATATAAATTTTTTTGTTGTTTTGTTTGTAAGCTGGCAATCGGGGGAAGAAAAAAATTAAAAAGACGTAAAGAAGAACTTGTAGTTGTTTTATTCTAGTTGCTGTTGTGTGTGATTTCTTCTTCTCTCCTATTCCCTTTTCTGGCTAATATTTCCTTTTGACATTGTCACAAAGCGGCAACAACAAAAACAAGAAAATATAAAAATCACGCCGAGCCGATGAATTAAAATTGGATGAAAATGGCAATTGGGAAAGAAAGAATATAAAGGAATGGAAGGAGAAGGAAGAAAAAATGAAGATGCTAGTGATAGCGTCAACTGGCTTTTGTTGTTGTAAAAAAGGGAAAAGTGTCTGCAAGCCTTGCGGGTGATGAGTCAAAAAAATTCTTTGAGAACGTTTCTTAAATAACTTGAATTTTCTTTTTTTTCTTGTTTGTTACCTGGCGGATTTGTATTTTTTTGGTTATTGAATGATTGCGAGAGGGGGACGGATGTTTATCTTCTGAAACTTTTGACCTTTTAAAAATTTTCTTCTTTAAAAATTTACACCAGATCAGTCTCGAAAGCATTATTGGTTATAGAAAGGTTCAGAATAGGCAAAAACTTACAGGGGTTCAAAATGGTAAAAATTTTGGTCAAAAAGCGTAAAATGGTAAAAAGCCTAGAAAATTAAGGGGTCCGAAAACTTGAGAAAATAGGCGCCTAAAATTTCTTTGTAAATTTTATTTTCTTAATATTTAATTGTTTAATTGTGTATTTTTTTGATCGATTTAAACGGCAACTATAGTATTTTTATTCTTTTTTCGCTCTTCCACCCATCAACAACATTTTTAAAATCAAAACCATCATCAGTGCCAGTCTGCACCTTTTCTTTTTTTTTCTCCTCAAAACATTTTTATATATTTATTCACATATTGGTGTGCCATTACTTTCATCTTCCTTCTCCCCCCTTCTAATTTTTCTTCTTTTTTTTCACACTTTGTATGCACAGGGAAGGCATTTCTCTCTCTTCTCTTTTGTATTTAAAAATGATCAGCTTTCCCGCACAACAACCAACACAAAAAAATTTTTTTTCGGCGGGAAATTTCTTTTTTGTAAAAATATAATGACAACAACAAAAATTAAAGTTTGGCTGCCATTGAGAGTTGAATTTTCATTTTTTCTTTTATTTATGTCCCATTATTTTGAAAATATTTTTATTGAGGGCCAGCTATAAGAGAAAACTCTCAGAAAATTTTTTGGTGTAGTGGGATAATCGTTGATTTTTTGGGGGCATGTCTATGGTTCCCCTTTTAGGAAAAAATTATTTTTTAAAATGTTTCTTTAAAAAAATCCTGAGAAAATTCATCCTATTGAAAAATTTTTCGTTTTGGTGTAGTGGGATAATTTTTGATTTTGTAGAGACAGTGACCATGGTTCGAATCCTTTTGAGGTGAAATTATTTTTTATAGCATTTAAAATAGGACAGAACATTTTACAATTAATTTGGGAATTTTTATCCACATGGTTTACAAAATTAATCCTTTTTTTAATTTTTTCGTAAAAAATACTTTTGTTCATCCAAAAATTAGTTTTTCTTCAAAAAAATTTTTTTTACCTCAAAAATATTTTTTCCTGCACGAAAAAATTACTTTTAATAAGTAGTTATCGGCTTAATCAAACTTGGTCCCCTTTAATGCCATAGAGACTTAAGTCAACAAAAATATTTTGCCCCAAGGCATTTTGCTTCAAGGCATTTTAGTACCTATTTTTCTTGTTTTGTCCAAACTCAGCCAACAACTTTTGTATATAAAAAGGCACATAAATTGCGCGCGCTTTTCTCTGAATTTGTAAATTAAAGGGAGAGAGTGAAGAAATTAAGTATTTTAGTTGTTGTTGCTTTTCTTTAGATTGTTATTTCTTATTTTTTTTAATTGTTTTCGAGATTTTTTTTCAAGTTTCTTCTTCGAGTTGCGTGAACTTTAACAAGCTTTCTAAGTTCAACATTTTTATGTGGTTTTTTAATTAAAAAAAATTTTTTTTTTAATTTTTGAAATTTTTTGGACATTTGGTCCCCCGTAGAAAATTAAATAAAAAAAATTATCTGCTTTTTTATTTTTCAAATTTTCTTTCGAGTTTCTTCTTCAAGCTGCGCGAACTTAAAAAGGATTTCTTTGTAGGCTATTTTTAATTGTTTTGAATTTTTTGGACATTCGGTCCCTCTTCAGAAAATTCACGATAAAATACATTATAATTCTGTTTGTCTTCTCGAAGAAAAAAACAAATTTTGTCTGGGTCATTTTCTGACGTGAATTTTGGCATTCTTATCAAACACATTTTCTCTTAAGTATCTTCATAAAAAAATTAAGTGTTCGTCTCCTTTTCGTTCTGCTCTGACCATTCTCATAGGGCTATTTTTCATGGTTTACTCAAAAAAATATTTTTTCTCTCTATGACCGCCTTTGGGGCTTTGGCCCCAAAAAAGGAATGGCAATTTTCGTGATAGACAAAAGTTTTTTGCTGTTTTTTATTTATTCCATAACTTGCTTTTGCGCATTTTCCCTCAGGGCATTTCCCCAAAATTACGTCCAATTCTTTTTTCTAGTAAAAAAATTTTTTAGAGATGGGACATTGCGCGCCACAAAAATAAATATTTAGCTCTAATAGTTGCCATTTTTTTATTGCCGTTCTTTTTTTAGTAAAAATTTTTTTTTTTATTTTCTAAAATTTTTTGATGGAAAGGGGCAAGCCTTAATACCAAACGTTGAAATACCAAATTCCCAAAAATTTCTTAAAAATACAAAAATATATAGCAGGGATGGATTCGCCTTCCGCGTTCTTCATTCCGCAGAATTCCCACTTTTTCGAGTCTTCAGCCTTCCGTCTTCCACTTTTTAATTTTATTCCGCTATATTCCGCTTACGCCTGCCGCTTTTTAAAATTGAAAATTATCCATCCCTGATATATAGGGGCATTCCAATTTCGTGGAAGGGTGTTAGCAATTCACATTTCTTGTATCATTTCGTTGTGTTTTTTTCAGAGTTTGGTATTTCTACATTTTTGGTATTACGGCTTACAGAAATTTTTTTTTCCTTAATTTTTCAAATAATTTTATATTTTTTTTGCAGGATTACTTGCTTTAATATTATTAAAATTGCCTTATTTTCTTGTTTCGATGTATACGTTTAAACGTTATGATCCTTCTCTTCCGCGAAATGTTTGCTCATTTAAAGGTTTTTTTCGGGTTTTTTTTCAAAATTTTTTTAATTTTTAAGGCAATCAAAAATTAATTTTTGAGGGATATCGTTATAACATTCATCATATTGTGCCTCCAAAAGGTATAAAAACATGGAGATGTGTTTGTGCCAAAAAATTGAATGGGTAAGGAAATTTTAAAATTTTTACAAATTTTTTAGAAAATTTCTGAAAATTAAAAAAAAAATTTTTTTGAAAACTTTTTCGAAAAATTAAAAAAATTTTTTTTGAAATTTTTTCTGAAAATTTTTTGAAAAATTTTGGAATTTTTTGGTTTTGAAATTTTTGAAAATTTTAGAAATTTTCTGAAAATTTTTTTGAAATTTTCGAAAAATTAAAAAAAAAATTTTTTTAATTTTTTTAATTAAAAAATCGAATTTTTAGAACTCGTACATGGTGTAAAGGAAGAGCTGAAACTTGGGATAATGATAAAAATGGAATTTCAAAAGGAGAGCATAACCACCCACCAGAACATGAGGTAGATTTTATCAAAAAAATTTTTTTGAAAATTTTGTAATTTTTTTAAAGATTGCGGAGCTGGAATATTTTAAGGTTTTTTGTTTTATTTTAAAAAAAAATTTATTTTCTCTATTAAAAGAGCCAATTAATTGTTGCTGCCATAGAATGTCCTCAAGCTAATTTAACTGAATTAATAAATGAAGCAGCGTCGTTGATGATGACTGGAGGGTCAAATTTTGGAAATCGGGAATCGTTGAAAAAGTAAGGAAAAATTTTTTTAAATCTAAAATAAATTTTTTTAGAGTTTATAGGCCAGTGATAGGCAAAAAATTAAAAAAAATATTTTTGGAAATTTAAAAAATGAGAAAAAAAATTCAAAATTTTCGCCGAAAAATTCGATTTTTTTACAATTTTAAAAAATCGAAAAATCAAGAAAAAATTATTTTTGTTATCTTATATGGGCTAGTTAACCAAATATTTATCAAAAATTGTACCAAAAAATTTTTAAAATTTTTTTTGAAAATAAAAAAAAATTTTTTTGGCATTTTATGACCGAGACTATTTATCAAAAAAATTTCAAAAAAAAAATTATTTTTAGAAATTTCTAAAAATTTACACAAAAAATTTTTTTAAAAACCTAAAAATTTTTCCCAAAATTTTTTAAAGATCCTTAGCTGGTGCCAGAAGACAAGCAGAAAATGGTGGATTTAAATTAAAATGTTATAAAAATATTTGTTATAATAAAACAACAACAATACGAAATAGAAGTATAATTCAAATAAATAAAGAAGAAATTACACCAAAAAGTTACAATATAAAGGATATATTAAACAAAAAAATAATTTTTGATAAAAAAGGAATAGTAAAATTGGAAGAATTTTCAAAAAATAATGAAGAAAAGAAGATAAAAGAAGAAGGGAAAGAAGAAGAGGAAGAAGAAGAAAACAGTCTAAATTTATTCAAAAAACAACTATTTTCTTCTTCATCATTTTGTTCTTCATCTTCCTCATCAACACCTTCTACTAATGCTACTTCATCACCTTTATTTTTTAATAATAAATTGTTTTCCTCTTCAAATTTGCCTTCTTCACCATCCTCAACATTTTCTTTGTCTTCCCCAACCTATTTATCTTCGAATTCTTCAAACTCTTCCTTCTTGGATTCTTCCTTCAAATCTTCTTCCTCATCTTCAAAAAATTCAAATTTATCGTTTAAAGATTCGCCTTATTTCAACTCTTCATTTTCTTCATCTTCTTCGTCTTTGTCTTCTTCCAATGCCTTTCTAATGGCTATAATTGCTGCTGCAACAAATTCCTCAAATAAAAATTTACTAAAAGAAGAAGAACAAAAACAATTATTATTGAAGAAACAAAGGGAAGATAAGGAAGAGGAAGAAAAAAGAAGAAAACAACAAATTATATTGAAAAAGAAAGCAAGAATTAATTTTGTTTTTAATAGGTAAATAAATTAAAATTTTTTGAAAAAGATGTTGCTGTGGTGTAGTGGGATAGTGGTAGGTTCGCTAACCAAAAGGTCTAAGGTTCGAATCCTTTTGGTGGAAAATATTTTTTTTTGTTTTGTTCCGAAAGAGAATAAAAAATAATAAAATTCATTTTTTTTGGGGGAAAATGCCTTAGATGATTTTTAAGAGGTGTGTTATATGGTGTAGTGGGATAATTTTTAATTTGCTAACCAAAAGGTCTAAGGTTCGAATCCTTTTGGTGGAAAATATTTTTTTATTCCTTCTGTGATTATTATTTTTCTATTTTTTTTAATTCTAGACATTTATTTTAATATTTTTTTTTAATTTTTAAGGCTTTCAAGAAAGGTAACGGAGGTTGCTGTTTCCAATAATGTTGATAATAATAAAAATCTGATCAAAAATAATTTGAATGAAATAGAAATTAAACACCAACAAAAAGAAAATTGTCGGGATGAACGTTTTTTAGAAGAAAATGTTAAAAATAATTGGTAAGAAAATAATTTTTAAAATTAAGAAAGAAAAGATTTTTCATAAAAAAAATTTTTCTAAAATTTTTTAGTAAAGAATTTGGAACACAAACAGACGAAATAACAAATTATTTCAAGGAAGAGGAGGATAATAAAAATAATGGGGCAAATTTAATTCTTGTTTGTTGTTGTGAAGATAAGCAAAAATGTACACAAAGGTTTGAAAAATTAATTTTTATAAATGTTTTGTTTAATTTTTAAATTTTGGTTAAGTGGGTAAATGTTTGACTCACTAACCTAAAAGGTCTAAGGTTCGAATCCTTTTGGTGGGAATTAATTTTTATCCGGAAGGAAGCAAATTATTAATAAAATTCTTCCCCGGAAAATAGAGTTTCAATAAAATTTTTGAGAAAAATTGCTTCTTGGTGTAGTGGGATGGTGTTTGACTCGTTAACAAAAAGGGTTAGGGTTCGAATCCCAATGGTGGAAAATATTTTTTTAATTTTTTTCCAAATTATTATTTTTGTTTTTTTAAACTTTCTAAACAGTTATTTTAATATTTTTATTTAAATTTTTTAAAATTAAAAAAAATCTTCAGAAATTTTTATTATTTTTATTTTTAGCAGTAAACGCCATAAACGTAAACTACTTACTCCTAGAATGCTTGGAAATAATATTAATGATGATTGTGGTGATTTGTTATCATTTGATAAAGAAGATTTTTAAAAAAAATTTTTTGGCCTTTAAAAAAATTTATTTTTCACTTAAAATTGTTCCCTTGGCTTTATTTGTTAATTATTAATATTTCACTTAACTATTGTGTAATTGCCGGTTTATTTATTTTTTTATTTAATTTAAATTTGTTTTAAAATTAGGAAAAAATTAATAAAATTGTTAATTAATTGTTCTTTTATTTTTTAAAATTTTTTTTTCGTAAAAATCGGTGCGGATATTTTAAATAGTTATTTAAAATTTAATTTTCTTTTTAAAAACTGTGAGAGAAGTGTTTGGTTGAGGATATAATGAAGACTAGAGAAACCGATGGTCTTTGTGTGAGAGGAATATACGAGAGGAATATCGGACTCGGTAGCCTAGATTTTTCTTCGAGATTTTTCTCGATCCGGGCTCTAATTGGAACAACTCTGTGAGGTTTTCAGGTTTAAATTAATTGTTCAGTTAATTTTGTTGATTTTTTAGTTGATTTTATTTTTTGCATTTGGTTGGAGAGATGATGAAGCGTTAGGTGAACTCTTTTCGGTACTTTATGGATATGTCACCCCCCCTCCTATTTTGAGTCTCAGAGTTTTCCTTATACGTAGAAAATGGTCAGAGATTATTTTCTTCTCCATGTCAATCATTTTTTTCCTCTTCAAGTATTTTGCTTGTTTATTTTGCCTTTTCACATATTTTTGAATTTTGTGCTTACATTCTTTCACTCATTTCGTTTCCAGATCTACCACATTTCACTTATTTTGCTTGAAGAAAAAAAATGATTGACATGGAGAAGAAAACTATCTCTGACCATTTTCTACGTATAAGGAAAACTCTGAGACTCAAAATAGGAGGGGGGTGACATATCCATAAAGTACCCTCTTTTCTTTTTGGTGTCTTGGTTTATCTGCTTTTGGTTTGCCTTTGAATACGCCTTCAAATTTTGATGTTGAACAATTTTTGGTAAAATTGCGCTTCAAGGTTAAAAAAATTTTTATTTGATTTTCCGCTGTGTCCACTCGCCCCAAATCTCTCTGAAACTACACATAAAAGTCGATTTTGTGTTTTCTAGTTTCCGGAAGATATTTTACTCATAGGGGGATTACCCGCCCTTTATTTCATCTCACTCCCTTTCTTCTCTCCTTTCTCTTTCGTGTTTTGTGTTTCTCTAAAAATTGGCCCCTTTTTAAATTCTTATAAATAAATTGTTGACTAACTAAATTGTTTTGACTTTCTATTTTTTGATCAATTTTTAAAAATATAAACTGGTCACTTTTGTGGCCAAAAGAGATTAAGCATTTTTCTCTTTTCCCCCTTCCCTTTTTTTTAAATTCTTTTAAATAAAAGGTAAACGAGAAAGAACAAAAATAGAAAGAAAAGGAGAGATGAAAGCATTTCATTTATTTATTTGTGTGCGGGAGTATTGCGCGGATACTTTAAAATACAATTTTTAAAAGAGAAAATGGGAGAGGGAAGGGGTGGGGGAGGGGGAGGGCTAGGGGAGGAGGAAAACAAAAGGGAAAAAAGGAAAGAAGGTTAGGGAGGGGTTGTTGTTGTTAATTTTATTTTGTGGTCCCCTTCTCCCCCTACAAGTTTGACCTGTCCAAAAAGAAGAAATTCTTGTTGGGAGTCTATTGTATTTTTTTGTAGGTTAGTCTCCCCTTTTCTGTTTTTATTTGTCCTCTTTTTTGGCCTATTGTTTTTAAAAAATTGAAAAAAGAAAAGAAAAATTAGAGGACTTTTTTTTTTGAAAAAAATCGTGTCGTGTCCTATGTTTTGACCACACCAACTATTCTACTAATTTTTCTATTCTTTAATTGATCTAAAATTATTTTTGTTGAAAAGAAAGTTAAAAAAAACCCGAATCCACTTAATTTGGAAAAATGTACTTTTAGTTGGGATTTTTAATGTTTTATAGGACTAAGAAATTTTTTAAAGTTTTAAAATGAGTCTGAAAACATGCTAAAACCTTTAGAAAATTTCTACCTCTGAAAGGGTCCGAACCTTGCCCTTAATTAGTTATCGAACCTAAAACGATCCCACTAAGCCACGAAGAGGGTTTTTTTGAAAAATTAATTTTTTTAGTTGAGAATTTTTTTTTACATTTAGCTTGGTCAAAAAACATTAAAAACATTTTTTAATTTTAAAATTAATTTAAAAAAATTTTGTACCTGAGAGGGTTCGAACCTGGCCCTTAATTAGTTATCAAGCCTAAAACGATCCCACTAAGCCACTGAGGGGTTTTTTGAAAAATCAAGGGGAAATCGTCCTTTTTTTAATCTAGGACGATTTAAATAAAAATAATAATTTAAAATTTAAAGAAAATTATTTTTAAAATTTTTTTAGTCACAAAATTCCAATGAAACTAGCAAAATGTTTTCAACAAAATATCAAAAACAACAGTAAAATATTTTTAAAATTATTTGTATTAATTAATTTATTTTCAACAACAATATTCTGTCAACTTGTAAAAATTGAAGAAGAAGAAAACTGTAATCCAAAACAATTTAAATTAACAAAACATCCAACATTAAATACTTCCTATTTTGTATGTAATGAAAATGGAAATTTGGAAAAACATGACTGTCCAGATGAAAAAATATTTAATATTAATATTTTGGGGTGTGAAGAAGGAGGAAGGACTGATCATGGGGAATTTCAAAGTGAAGGGTTAATTGATGGACAGACATCTTTAAAGGTTAGGAAATTTATTAAAAATAAAATATTGGAGGGTTTGAACTAGCCCCGAAGGGTCTACTCCGAGAAACTCCGATCCCCGACACATTCGACCTCGAAGGGGTCGGAGAGCTACCCTAGTTTGAACTGTGGATATTTCTCTTTGGATCGGGTTAGGGGTTGAAAAATGTGTCCGGGTCTTGGAATTCTACTAACCAGTCTCATCCCTTATTTCAACCTAGGGCCTAAAATCAAAAAGTGACCATTTCGGTCAAAATTCGCAAATATTTCAGAAGCAAAACACAAACAGTAATACTACAACCACCAACATTTCAACTCAAACCAACAATACTGATGAAGAAAATGTGTTGAAGGAACCTCAGTTTCAAGCTCCAGATGATATTTGTTCTGGTGCAATTCCACTAACTAAGCTTGGAGCACCTGTGGTATGAAAAAATTTTTTTAAATTTTTTGAGAAATTTCAAAAAAGAATTTCTGTGCTCATGATATATTTTATCCCCTTTTTTACTTTAAGATGTGTAATCCAAGCATTTCAAGTTGTCCTGATGGTTTGTTAAAAAATTCTTTTTAATTATTAAAAATTTCTTTAAAAAAGGTTTTCTTTGTACATTACATCAAAGAACTGGAACTTCTTATTGTTGTCAAGCCTCTATTGAGTCAATTGGACCTGAAGGAGGACAAGGAAATATTCCTTTATGTTCTGGATTGCAAGTGACGTTCTTTGAAACATTTTCTGGCTTACCCAAAACTTGTTCCTTAACTTCACCTTCTGGTTGTCCAACAGGTTTTGGATGTAATTTGGTTGATGGAGCTTTTACTAGATGCTGTGGAAGGGATTTTGGATGTCCGGCAAATTCGGGTTTTTAATTTAATCTTTTTTGAAAATTGTCGGGGCCTCATTATAAGGTCATTATAGGGTTTTAAAATGATACCTTTATAATAGATACCTGCAATATAAGGTAAACTTCTATTTAAGATACACCTCATTATTATAAAATTTTTCCTGCCCCAAGGGTTCTATTCTTTAATGATGTTCTACTTTAATATTATATGTTTATTTAGCTGGTTTTGTTCACCCAACAACTGGTTCACATGTTCAATGTAATTCTGCGGATCCACTTTCTTGTCCTAATGGATTTATTTGTACACAGGTTTTTTCTTGAAAAAATTTTTCCTTAAAAATTAAAATTTTTTTTTGAAATTTTTTAAACATTTTTAGTCTTCAATGTTTAATACCGGAATTTGTTGTTCTGACACTTCAAATGCCCCGATCGATGTTTGTGGAGGTGAATCGCCCTTGCCTAGGCCAAATCCTTGTTCTGCCTCTGATCCATGTCCGATGGGATATTCCTGCCGGAATGGGCGTTGCTGCCCTAGCAAAGGTTTTTTATTTGAAAATTTTTATAAAAAATTTTTTGAAGGTGTTTGTCCAGTTGGGGCACCTCTTGGTGGAGTGACCTCATGTTCAGCTAACGGCAATCCGTGTCCAAACAATTTCCAATGTGTAACGAATAATGGACATCAATATTGTTGTCCTTCTCCAGGTTTTTTTAGAATTTTTAAAATCTTTGTAAGGATTTTTTGAAAAGAAATCTCATTAAAAGCTTTTAATTTAAAGAATTTTTACTCCAAAAGGGTTAAACCCTTGCCCAATTTCAAAAATTTTTATTTCAGAACCGGTTCGAACCTTGCTCTAAATTATTTGGCAGCCCTAAACAGATCCCACTTAACCATAGGAGAATTTTCTTGAAAAATTGGTGGACATACGCTAATTAAATTTTGTTAACTTTTTTTTTCTAGAACATGTTTGTTCCTTACCTAATGATTCTGGTATTCAATGTCCAGCACGTGTTTTATCTCCAATTTCTCGTTTTTATTTTGATTCAACAACTGGCTCGTGTAGAACATTTCAATTTTCGCAATGTGGAGGAAATGCAAATAATTTTGACTCTCTTGAACAATGTGAAGGATTTTGTTTGGAATCGCAATGTCCAGATGGAGGTTTATTTAAATATTTTTTGAGGGGGGAAATTTTTTTTAATTAAAGGAACAGGTTTACGTGCTGGCCCATCTTTAGCTCGTTGTAGTCCTGGAGAACAAAATGGTGCAAGATTAGCAGATACTTGCCCAGCACATTATGTTTGTGTTCAACCACTTTTTGGACAACACAATTTTGTTTGTTGTAGTAGTCCAGGTTTTTTTGAAAAATTTTTTCTTCAAAGAAAATTTTTTAAAGAGCAAGTTTGTCGAGAACCCGTTGCTGCTGGAGTTCCTTGTTTTGGCCCTTTTTTAACTATTCAACGTTTCCATTTTAATCAAAATAAAGGACAATGTGAAGCTTTTCAATATTATGGATGTGGAGGTACTGGAAATAATTTTATTACAAGAAGTCAGTGTGAAATGCAGTGTGTGCCTTCTGTGCAAAATAGTAAGGAAATTCGATTTTTCAAAGGGAAAAAAACGCGAAAAATGTACATTTCGCCGAAAATTCAAATTTTCATAACGTCAAAGGACAAAATGTCATCTGACATAATGTCAAAAAAGACGAAATGTCCAAAGGACAAAACACCAATATTTCAATTGACAGAACTACAAAATATCACATAAAACACAAAAAAAATTTTAATTTTAGGCTGTAATGGTGTTGCTCCCTTAAACGATCCAGGCGACTATGTCCAACGTTGTAATGATAATTCTCAATGCCCTAGCGGTAGCTGGTGTAATCAAAAAAGTTATTGTTGCCCCCATGGAGAAACTGCTTGTTCAAGTCAAAAAAGTATTGGGCATACTTGTTTAAGTCAAAGGCCTGGAACTTTTTGGTATTTTTTTTAGAATTTTTTTGGGAAGATTTTTAGAATTTTTTCGCAATTTTTGGGAATATTTCAAAAAAAATTTTGGAAGAAAGTTTTTTGGGAAGATTTTTAATGTTAAATTTTAAAAGGTATTATGATAGCGACACAGATTCTTGCCTTCCTTTTGAATATTCTGGTTGTGGTGGAACTCCAAATCGTTTTTCTGAACGAGAAGCTTGTGAATATATGTGCTTAAATAAACAAGATTTAATAAATAATGATGGGGGTGATGAATGTCCACGTGGTATGGCACCTTTATTAGCGTCTGGTGGAAGGGGAGGAGGAAGAAATAGTAAAATACAAAGTTGCCGTCAGCCTTTGAATAATTGTGAGGTTTTTTTTAAACTTAAAAAATTTTTTTGAGGTTTTAAAAATTTTCTGAAATTTTTAAAAAAATTTTTGGAAGTCTTTTCTGAGAAATTTTTTTATGTATTTTTATAAAAAAATTTTTTTACAGTAAATGGAGCCGGAGGTTCATCTTCATATAAAAAATGCCCAGAAGGTTCTTCCTGTGTTCAGTCAATAAATAACAAAAACAGCCAAAAATGGATTTGTTGTATTTCTGTAGCACAATGTCCAAATGGAAGAAATGCTTATTTAATACCAAATTCAGATTCTATAGTAGCTTGTGTACCTGAAGCTTTGATTGGAGAAGGTGGAGATGAAGAAGGGGAAAATTTTAATAAAAATTGTCCTTCAAAATATTCATGTATGCAGTCTGCTAATGTACCTGGATTTTATATGTGTTGCTCTTCTAATAATTATAACAATGGTGGTGGTGGAAGAAATACTGATTTGCCTTCATTGTAAGAGAAGTTTTTTTTCGATTTTTAATTTTATACAAACCTCGAACCTCACTAGAAATACACTTTTCGAGTAAAAATTTTATTTTAAAATGACGGTGTTTATTGTTGGAATAGGGAGTATTTGCCGTTGAGAGAGGGGTACTTTGAGGGGTTGAGAGGGGAAAAATATTGGCAGCTCTCCACATCCACAGTCTCTTGGATTGAAGCGTATATTGTACGTAAGTAGATGAGGAAACTTTTTGACGAGGAAGGAAGGGGAGGGGTCACTTTCAAAAAGGTTTTTTCGGGAAAATTTTTCAATTAATTTGGAGAAAGGAGAAGAACAACTTCTAATGAGAAGGATTTCTTCTTGGGCTATTTTGAATATATCTAAAATCCAATATTTCAACTTTAAAAATTTTTTTCTTATTTTTAAAAAGATCCAAAATTGGTTCATTTACTTCTGCTGTTGTTAGCGCTGTTTCTGCTGCAAAAAAGCGTGCAATGTCTTCATTACTTGCTAATTTAAATGCAGCACAACAACAAAAACACCAACAACTACATCAATATTCTGTATTAAAATGTCCAAGTGGTTTATTATCAAATGGAGCTAAATGTGTTGTGAATCAAATACAAGCTTGTCCTTTAGGATATTTGTGTATTGGTGATAATAATATTGCTTCTGGTGGGAAAGGTGTTTGTTGTAAAGCACAGCCTAAATGTACAAGAAAAGGAAGGAAACCGGTTTATATTGCGCCTAAACAGGTTTAAAATTTTTTGCCTAATTTAGGAGAAAATGGACATTTTGTCCCATTTTAAAAAATTTCACAAAAAAAATTTTTTTTATTAAATTTTTGATAATTTAAGAGAAAATTGGACGTTTTGTCCTATTAATTGTGAAAAATATTTAGAAAAATTTTTTGTACTTTTTTGGGTTATTTACTAAAAATGGACATTTTGTCCCAATTTATTTTTGAAAATTTTTCAAAAAAATTTTTTTTCAAGGTTTTAACTTGTGGTGACGAGGAAGCAGGTTGTCCAGAAGGTTCTCGTTGTTCTCGTTCAACTTTATCTGGAATTCATATTTGTTGTATGCCAAGAGAAAGTTCTGCTGCTGTTGGTTATGTCAGAGGGAGCAGTTCTTCTTCCTCGGCTTCATCTTCTTCAAATTCTGATAGAAGAACAATTAGAAGGCCTGAATCTTCTCTTTCTTCATCTTCCTCCTCGGCGGCTTCTGCAACCTCTTTTTCGCATGTTCCCAAAATTGTTCCAAAATGTGCAAAGGATGGAGCTTTGCCGTTTTTTGCTTTGGGAAGTAGAGGTTTCTTTTTTAAATTGAAAAATAGATTTTTTAATTTTTTTATAGTGCCACAACAATGTACAGCAGATAGAGATGATGAATGCCCGGAAGAATTTGAATGTGAAATGGGAACTGATGAACAATTTGTAAATTTTTAATTTTTTTCTGCTGATTTTGGGGGAAATGAGGGGAAGGGAATGGGGTGAACATCTCCCTTGACTACTTGTTCGGTGTTGGTTGCAGGTCTCTGGTAAAAACGACTCCAAAAATTTTTTACTGGAAATTTTTTTGTTAATTATTTTTATTTTTCAAAAATTTAGTATTGTTGTCCAGCATGGGATAGATGTCCAGCAGGCGCTTCTCCATTTTTTGTTGAAGGATCTCGTAAACCTTTGGGTTGTAATTGGATGGCAAATAATTGTCCTGAAGGATACACGTATTTTTTTCATCTTTTGAAATTTTTAGAAAAATTTTTTGAAATTTTTTTAAAGCTGTGAAGGTTCAAAAGACCGTGCAATTTGTTGTCGAATGCGTGCAAATAAATTACAATGTCCAAATGGTCGTTCCCCTTATCTTTATGGAAAACGTCCAGTTGTTTGTCATTCAACAAGTAATAAAAGAATATGCCCTACTGGATTTGAATGTACACCTTCACAAAATGGTGGTGGACAAAGATTGTGTTGTTCTACGTTTGTTTTTTTTTGGAAAAATTTTATGAAAAAAATTTTTTGTAGGCCAGAAAATCATGCACCTGAATGTGTTGCTGGTTTTGGCTATCTTGATCCTTGTAAAAATTTTTTGAAACATTTTCTTTTTAATTTTTCCCATGTTTTTAGCTACTGGAAGAAATCAAATATGTGACCCAACTCTTGAGGTGTGTTTTAAGACAAATCTTTTTAAAAGGAGGGACCTCTATTAAAAGAATTTTTTCTACGGGGAGGTGTTTTATCTGACATGAGAAAAAACTTTTCTACGTTGAGGAGGCCTCCATTAAAATAATTTTTGGGAGGGGGGGGGGGGTATTTTATTTAAAAAATTTTCTGAGGAAGGGGGCCTCCTTTAAAAAAATTTTCTAGGGAAGGGACGTTTCATCAAAAAATTTTCTATGTTGAGGAGTCCTTTATTAAAAAAATTCTAGGTGGAGGGGTGGTTCCAATAATATTCTTCATAATTAAAAAAATTTTTCAACAAAAATAGACTTGTCCTCTCGGTTATCGTTGTAAACGTTCAACACTTGCAAATACACATGTTTGTTGTTCTTTACCTTTGGATAATCGTTATGATGGTTATTGCCCTCCTGGACAAATTCCATTAATTAATAGTGGACAACAATTACAACAAGAAGATTTTATTATTCCAACAAATTGTCATCAAGTATTAAATCCATGTCCTTC